TTTATTAGTACACATTTGCAGTATATAATGATTACAATAAACACAGGGCGTTGGTATGTACAGTATTCTCTGCTGTTTGTGTGTCCTGATGACCTTAGACCTCTCTTGTTACTGCCAGTTTCTCTCTTCTCTACCTGAGTTCTACATGAGAAACAAAGTTAAAGGGAGATAGCAAAATCCAGCTGAGAGTGGCCACAGAAATTTTTTCTGCTGCACAGCACATGCCAGGACCCTCCATAGCGCTAATCCGTGTCCTCTTTCAGCGCCACATCTAAACCATCTTTCTTTCTTCCTGCTGTCTTGAATGGCTAGGTAAATATTCTGCAGTGCTGTGATTCACAAGCTAATAAATTCTGCAAATTCTTCTAAAACCGTTCTTTTCTTATACTTTAAGTACTCACATGTTTCAGGATAGACAGTGTCCTCCCAGCTTCCTTCCTCCCAAAGTTTGTGATTCTACCAAAAAAAATTTAGATGGTTCCCTTTACCTCTGCCTGGTTTAATGATGGAACTCCAGGCAGCGGCATAAGCACCTGCATGGCATGTGCAAAGTCATGAGTTCGATTCCCGGTACCAAAACAAAACAAAACAAAAAACCATTGAGGTCCCCGGGATCCTTCTCCAGGTCCCCTCTCAGAACCCTAACCCTAACCCTAACCCTTCAGGGTGCTAAAGAGAAAGCTTGGAAGATTAACCTCAAGGCAATCTGATTAATCCTGGAGAGAAACACTTAATCAGTCAGTGCAATCTCTCTATCCTAAAGCCATAAATTGACAAGGCCTGTCCTGTATGCACAGACCTTCCAAATAAGAGAATGTCCCTAACATACATATGGACAAATAGCCAAGTATATCAGACATAAAAAATCTTTAACATAAAGCCTCACCAATGCAACAAGAACCAAGCAACTTGAAACTTTGCATATGCAGACATAGTAAACCTGCCCTTCCAAATGAATGAATAAAAGTGGAGAGATTATATCCTTAAAAGAATAATATGCTGTTAAAAGGAGAAGGAGAAGAAGAACCACCTTTGGAAATTAAAAATGTAACAAACTGAAAACTTAATAAAGACTTAATAAATAAACCTGATGCTGACAAAAAGAAAAAATTCAAATCAGTGAGTGGAAGGAAAGGGAAAAAAAGAATTGAGATGTGGTATGTACATGTGCCAGTTCCCCACAATGAATATAAACACTAAGTACTGCAAACACGTAGTAATAAAAAAATTTTAAAAGTCAATAAATAGAGCGGATGGAAGATAAAATTTAGGTCACTGCCCTGAAAAGCAAGGGGGACATGTGCTGGGAAATAAAAGTAAGAAAATCAAATTTCAGCCTAAGATCTTGTCATCCAAATAATACACATCCTAGAAAAGAGAACTGAAAAATGAAGAGAAGAATCCAGGTAATGCAGGCCTGTAATCCCAGGACTGCGAGGCTGACGCAGGAAGAATGTAAGCAGGAAACCAGCCTGGGCAATTTAGCAATTCAGTCCCTGTCAATCAATCAATCAGCAGGTAGATAGGATAGATAAAACAGACAGTCGGAGCTGGAGATGTAGCTCAACGGGAAGGCTTTGGGTGCCTTCCTGTAGTAGAGAAAAAGAGGAGGAGGAGAAAAAATGAGGGGGCAAAGAAAAAAAGATTTCTTACGTTGAGAAAATTTCCCAGAACTGCAGGTCATGAGCTTATAGATGTAAAGGACCCAGAAGGGCACTGACCCAAGGCATGTCATCAGCGATGTCTCAGAAACTAGAAGATGCTGCGAGTTCCACAAAGAAGCAGGTCACATACTAAGCACAAGGACTCAGGATGGCAACAGTAGAAGCTAGACAATGACACAGTCTTTTGAATTCAGAAATGACATTCTTTTCATCTTAGAAGTCTATGCCTAACCTAAATCTCACGTGTAAAGGTAAAGATACTTTATGATAGAGAAGATCTTACAAAGTTTATTTCCAAAGCATCCTTTGGAAAATATTTCTTTAAAATGAGAGTAAATCAATAAAGTGGAAGGCCAAAGTTCCAGCTTAGGTCAGGAAGAGACTCTCGGGTTGGGTCTGCAGTGGCAAACACACACCCAATTGACACCCCGGATTCGGAGGCAGATTTATTTATGTCGATGGGCACTGATTGGGCTCATTCCCAGAGTACCCAGTCCTGATCTCCGGTGGTCTAGGGCTCATATGGGATAAGCAAACAGGAAGTGCAGAGGCAGAATGGCTTGACAATTGGGAATCGGTTTACATGATGTGCATCATAGTGACCAGCTATGCATCACAGTGTCCGAGACAGAAGCAGCTGGAACTGAACAGGAACCGTTACCCGGGCAACTAAGAAACTGAAGTACACTGACGAGGGGGGCATTTTCTGTTATAGATCAAATGTGGTCCCACAGTGTCGCCTACTCAGCAGCTCCAAGAGCAAACAGCTAGAAGACAGAGATATGAATAGGGTATTTTTTAAAGGAAGCACAAGGGGTTACCTTGAGAGTAAAACCAGAAGTGAAGAAAAAGGACATTTTCCCTTTTCTTTTCCACCAATACTTGGTTTGAATCCAGGGCCTTTACAATAAGCTATAGCCATAACCATTTTTTTTTTTTTTTTTTTTATTTTGAGGCAAAGTCTTCCTAAATCCCCAGGTTGTTCAGGCGGCTTGAAACTCACAGTGCTCCTGTCTCAGGAGTATAGTCATGTATACTTGTAAGGAATATTTGACTCATCACTATAGTTTCTATAGTTTATCACTTTTTCTATTCATTGATTGATAGAGTCTTGCTGTGTAGTCCAGGCTGTCCTTGAATTTACTGTGTAGCCTAGGCTGGCCTTGAATTTCAGTCATCGTCCTGCCTCAGCCTCCCAAGTGCTGGGATTACAGGTGTGCACCATCATGCCTAGGGAACCTGTGAAGAAGTTTTGTTAGGAAATCTTTAAATCCTCTAGTCAACCTTCCCGATAATTTTAGGCTTCTAATTCCTCATCATAGGAAAAGAGTTCTGGAGGAATGTCTGTAGCCAGAAGTCTGTACTCTCTCCTGGAAGATTAACTCCCTCCTTCCTGCTCTGCCGTCTTAGGCCTGCCATAAGTGAACAGTGAATGAAGCTTTCTAGCCCACAGTGCTCTTTCTTCTTCTTTCTTTCGTTTTTCTTTTGCAAGAGCCCATCCCTAAAAAGAGAGCTTTCTTTGCACCAGAACCTTGATTACCAATAATTAATCTGAGAAGAAAGACTGCAGGCTTCCCGTGCCGTTGACCTAAAAGAATTTGCTGTGAATGGTTTGTCTGTTTGCTTGCCAGAGATCTTATCTTGACCAAGAAGAGCTGATAGAATCATAAAATCAGCACTGGTCTTTCCTCAGTACTCTTTCTCTACGAAATGGGAGAGATGGTAGCCCAGCACAGAAGGAAGGTTTAATATATGTCATGTGGGAGGGTGTCATTTAATCATGGCTATATTTCATAGTAATAAAATTTAAATAACTCAATAGTACATCCTAATCCCTGTACTTTTCTTTGCTTGTTCTCAATATATTTGGATAAATCACTACAGAACAACCAAGCCAAATGTCCAAACCACCCATTTTCCTATTCCCAGCACATGAATTAGAAGGAGGCCACAGAAATTTGGCCTCCTTGGCACTTAGATGACTTGTATGTCTAATTTTTGTTCTGTGATCTGAAACTCAACATAAACTGAAAAAGAAAAATTTTCCAAATACCAGATAATTCACAGAAAAAAAGTCTCCAGCCTTTTTAGTTCTTTCATGCATGCAAAACTGATAAACAAACCTGCCCTGAACAGATACAAGGAATCAGCGATTATTTCCTGTAAGCACAAACAGATACTTACACGTAACAGGCTTGCTGAACTCCTGCATTCAATGTTAGGTTCTTAAACTGGAGTAAAAGCTGAAGAACTTTTTTAGGGAAAGACTTAAAACAGAACTTTCTGAAGAAAATTTCTAGGAGACAAAATTGGGGCTTGGAAAATATAATTGAACCAGGCAGAGTGGACAGACCTGCAGTCTTGGCACTTGGGAGGCTGAGGCAGGAGGTTCACCAGGGGTTCGAGCCAGCCTGGGCTACATAGTGAGCTCAAGGCCAGAGAGAGTGAGAACCATGTTAACAGCAAACAAGGACAGGACAGGAACAAAATGGTAGGCCTAACAGAAGGTACTGTTTGGTTTAGATGTTAGGAATAAATTTTTGACTGTGAAACTTGTCAACTCCGAAAATTAACTATCCAAGCGAAGGCAGTAGAGCCCAAACCAGAAGATATGGAAGCTATACTAAATTCACTTCCTGCATGGGTCATGGTCCTCAGATACAGATGTTAAACAACAGGCTCTCCTTGGTACCTTAAATCTGAATTCCAAGCAATTGGCAGAGAAGTGAAACCCGGAATCTGGCGCCTCGGCCACGGCACCTTGTGCTTGGCTCCTTTGCCAAAAGAGCTCCCCGAGGAGCAGCACAGTGCATCCCGGGGCTTAAGCAGTGTAACAAGGGGATTGATGAGAAACAATGGGTTTGAAGGCTCCAGAAAGGGGAAGCCTCTTTGCAGCCCTTGTGGCCAGATAAAATTTACAGAGGCGGTCGGGAAGATGCATAAGGACCATATCTAAAAGTAAGCAAAAACAGGCCTGCCATAAGGTAGATTATGAGGCCTGCCATTATGCGGGTAGATGTTGTTTATAGAGGGGAAATTGGTTTGTATAATTAACACATATCCAGAAATTACCTTGTCTTTGTAATATTCCTTCTATTAGGGAAACAACATCCTCTCTTGCCAGATAAAAGACAGAGTCTCTTCGTTTAGGAAAAGAACATCACCAAATTACAAGGAGGCCTAAGCCACTCTTTGAATTACTGGTAAACCCGGAACTGACCCCCAAGCTTTCACCTTGTGCAAGAATGGTATAGAGCCATTCTTCCCTCACTATGAGAAACCTGTTCTTGCCTTGGCTTCTGTTTTAATTGTGGACTTCTCTCTCCTACCATGCAGCTGGGATGAAAGCAGCTCCATCAGCAGCGGGCTCAGTGATGCCTCAGACAACCTCAGCTCGGAAGAGTTCAATGCCAGCTCCTCACTCAACTCCCTCCCGACTACACCCACTGCTTCTCGCAGGAACTCCACAATAGTGGTGCGTGACTTTGTAAACACCAGGCTCCCAGCTTAAGATGAAGATGACAGCAGAGAAAACTGTCCAGTGCCTGCGTATGCACTTAATACACACATACCCCCTTCAGGACTGGTGGCTGTCAGCCTTTGGCCAGGTTTTTTCAGAACTAAAAGAAGAAAGTGAAGGCATTCAAACAGTCACACAGGAAAGTAGATGTTGTGACAGTATCTATTTTTTCTCACGTCTATTTGGGGTGATGCATGTAAGATCTTCTCCAGCTAGAGAGAAGCACCCTAAAGATAAATATGATGTCTTCTGTCTGGAACACTAGGGATACAGGTAGACACCCTGCCTGGGTTAACTTCCTACTGTGGGATAGCAGGACTACTGTCTAAAGAAAATAAAACCCTTCACCTACCCGTGTCCCCTTCATCTCCTAGTGTCTCACTCTGCCTTTTTCTCATCTTTTTAGCTACGCACAGACTCAGAGAAACGCTCCTTGGCAGAAAGTGGGCTGAGCTGGTTTAGTGAATCTGAAGAGAAAGCTCCCAAAAAACTGGACTATGACAGTGGTAGCCTGAAGATGGAGCCTGGGACTTCTAAATGGCGGAGGGAGAAGCCTGAGAGCTGTGACGACTCATCCAAAGCTGGGGAACTGAAAAAGCCCATCAGCCTGGGACACCCTGGTTCTCTGAAGAAGGGCAAGACCCCCCCTGTGGCTGTCACTTCCCCCATCACTCACACAGCCCAGAGTGCCCTCAAAGTTGCAGGTGAGTCTGGACCAAAGGGATGGACAAGGACCTGATTGTTAGTCTTAATGGCCATTAACTCACAAGAAGATAGCAAACCTCTGCATAATGCTTTAACATACATTGTCTTCTCTGGCCGAGACAGCTCTCTGAGTTCAGAAGAATGGGTCTCACCTCTCCACACATGTGGAAGCAGACCAAAGCCGGGCACCTGGCGGGGCTAAAATCACACCACTGATGGATTCAAGGCAGGGCGGGGAGAGGAGACATTGTGTTGGGGGAGTAGTTTGACCTCTCTGCAAACACTTCCCATTAGTTTCTTTCTTTCCTCTCCCACGACATGCAGTCTGTGTCCTTTTTACAAGATGCTTGCCTGCCATCCCTAGGAGGGCCTAGGGAAAGAATAAATCAAGTAGAGGCCCCGTGGGTCTTTAACCTTCCTCATTTCCCTCCAAGCTCTAATTTCAGTAGACATGGCCTCACTGTATTTTTTTTCCCTGCCTGGACCAGTTATTGGATGAACCCTTCTTGATCATCTTTGTGGTTGGCTGTACCATCTTAACCGATATAAATCATCCTATGCTGGGAGCAGAAAACAGCAAAAATCAAAACAAGCAAGGGCCTCGCCTCCCTACTTCTCCCACCCAGAATCCTGACAAGAAATGTCGCCAATTTATTCAATACCTACTTACCATGTTTAGGCCTCTGGAATTCTACAATACATCGACAGTGTCGCCTTCTTCCACAGAAAGAAAAAGGCGTTTTTTAGATACTGGTCAAGCCAGGTATGGTGGTACATGCCTATAATCCCAGCACTCTCAGAGACTGAGGCAGCAGGAGGATTGCAAGTTCAAACCCAGCCTGGTAACTTAGTGAGGCCATGTCTCAAAAATCTAAAAAAAATACCTAAAAAGTGCTAAATGTATCTCTTAGTACAAAGAACCCCGGATTCAATCCCCAGTACTACCCCCCAAAGATACCAAAAAAGTGTCAGCTGCCCTTACCTCATTTTCTGCCCTCACAGGTAAACCTGAAAGCAAAGCCACAGACAAGGGCAAGCTTGCGGTGAAGAACACTGGGCTGCAGCGCTCCTCCTCCGATGCTGGCCGGGACCGTCTGAGTGATGCTAAGAAGCCCCCCTCGGGCATTGCTCGCCCCTCCACTTCGGGATCTTTTGGCTACAAGAAGCCTCCTCCTGCCACAGGCACAGCCACCGTCATGCAGACTGGTAGTTCAGCCACTCTCAGCAAGATCCAGAAGTCCTCAGGCATCCCAGTCAAACCCGTCAATGGACGCAAGACTAGTTTAGATGTGTCCAATAGCGCAGAGCCCGGATTCCTGGCTCCTGGAGCCCGGTCCAACATCCAGTACCGCAGCCTACCCCGGCCAGCCAAATCCAGTTCTATGAGCGTGACCGGTGGGCGGGGCACAGCCCGCCCTGTGAGCAGCAGCATTGACCCCAGTCTGCTCAGCACCAAGCAAGCAGGCCTGACCCCCTCCAGACTGAAGGAGCCCTCCAAGGTTGCCAGTGGGCGGAGCGTGCCGGCTCCCGTCAATCAGACGGATCGGGAAAAGGAAAAGGCCAAAGCCAAGGCAGTGGCCTTGGACTCAGACACCATCTCCTTGAAGAGCATTGGCTCCCCAGAGAATACTCCCAAGAACCAAGCAAGCCACCCCCCAGCCACCAAGCTTGCAGAGCTGCCACCAACCCCTCTCAGGTACCCAAAATGGGCACTTACCTCTCTGCCTGCTTGTTCTGCTATTCTTTCGCATATCCTTACCCTCCTTAGACTAGATGTAGCATGGCCTATCCACTTTTCCTATAGGTCTTTGCGTGGTCTTTCCCGTCCCCTCCCCTCCCCTACATGCCAAATATCTTTGCAAACTGTATTCAAGTCAGGCTCAGTAGCACACACTCAGTAGCATATACCTGTAATTCCATTACTCAGGAGGCTGAGGCAAGGGGACTGAAAGTTCAAGGCCAGCCTTGGCAATCTAACAATACCCTGCCTCAAAATAAAAAATGAAAGGGCTGATTAGGTAGGATGTAGTTTGGTGATACAGTGCTTGTCTAACAGGTACAAAGCCTTGGATTCAGTCCTTAGTCCTGCAAGGGAGAAAAGGAAAAGAAACAGAAAAACTGTATTCTGAAGTTGCTTTGCTTATGCTATTCCCTGATCCACACTTAACCTGTCTCTAATTCTTGTGTAAGTGGTTTTATTGTATTTCTTTCCACACAAATACTCATTTGTATATAAATTGACCTGTGTTTCGTACACGCATATATTGTCTCCTTTTAAGCTGAAGGTATTGGGTAGCTGCTTTCTTTCCAGTTAATTTTTCAGCAGCATTAGGATGAGCCTGTACTTCCGGGATAATCTCTATACTTTCCAGAAAGGAAGCTAGAGGAAGACTGCCTCTTGCTCTATCATTCTGTTATCCTAAATGTGTTACTTTATCTTTACTTTCTTCAGGGCCACAGCTAAGAGCTTTGTCAAGCCACCCTCACTAGCCAATCTAGACAAAGTCAACTCCAACAGTCTGGATCTACCATCGTCCAGCGACGCCCACACTGCAAAGGTCCCAGATCTGCATGCTTCAAGCTCAGCCACTGCAGGCCCTCTCCCTACTTGCTTCACCCCCAGTCCGGCACCCATCCTCAATATTAACTCAGCCAGCTTCTCCCAGGGCCTGGAGCTAATGAGCGGTTTCAGTGTTCCCAAGGAAACCCGCATGTACCCCAAACTCTCAGGCCTGCACAGAAGCATGGAGTCCCTCCAGATGCCCATGAGCCTGCCCAGTACCTTCCCCAGCAGTTCTCCCATCCCCACCCCACATGCTGCTCCTGCTGCACCCTCAGAGGAGGAAACGGAAGAACTGACCTGGACTGGAAGCCCCCGGGCTGGACAGCTGGACAGGTAGGTGGATGGACACAGGGCTGGGTCTAAACTGATGTCCCTGCCTTGAGCTTGTTTGGTCATTAGCAATACCACCCTATATGTGACTGTGATTTGCAAAAGTTTTTCACATGCTATAATTTCATTTGCTTCAGAATAATGTCATGATATAGGTTGTTTTCTTTCCATGATATAAAACCAGCTGCACAAAAAGTTGAATAACTTATCTAAGATCTCATAATTAGTTTTATCTCTCACCCAAAGCTCTTTTGCTTTCTTGTCCAAAATCATTTGTTATATCACATCCTGCTTTTCACCTATCATAATACCATCTTTGAATAGCCAACTAGCTGGGTGGGGTGGCACACAGGTGTAATCCCAGCACTTAGGAGGCTAAGGTAGGAGGATCACTGTGAGTTTGAGATCAGTCTAGGCTACAAAGGGAGTTCAGGCCAGTTTGAACTGTATAGTGAAACCCAGTCCCAAAAAGACAATAAATAAATAGCCAACTATACCTTAATTCCCAAGCAGATAAAGTTCTGAAGTTGTAAGTGAGAACTTGGCTGTGATTGTCTTCTTAGTTTGTTTATGGAGATAGAGTCTCACAGTTTAGTGTTCTGTATCCAGAGTGTGTGTCCTTCAGGGCCATAGTCCTAAACGTTGGTTTCTAAGCTGGACTTACAAGCTTTTCTTTATTCATCTTCACAGCAATCAGCGAGATCGAAACACCCTTCCCAAGAAAGGGCTCAGGTAACCCTTAAATATGTTGTCTTCCCAACACTGGGGCCCCTGGTCCATATAAAAAAATCCTAACTTGATTTGTCCCAGGCCTCACGCAAAAACTCAGTATGAGTACCATATGCTCATTTGTATATGGTTCTGTGCAAATGCCACCAGTGAGTGCCCTGCCTGAGCCTGCCATCATGTGAGCCAGCTTTTACAGCCAGTGGGCTTCGGTGCCAGGGAACAAACGAGTTTGTATGAGGGAATCATGTGCTTCCCAGTACCCACCTGGGCTGTCCTAATCCAGGCCGCATCTCCTCTCTGGAGTTTCCTCCCTCAGAGTGTGGCTGGACCTCCTCAGCAAAGCTAGGGGCAGGCTGCACCTGGTCTTGCACTGTTAGTGCAACTCTGAGTTGTTCATTTGGGTGGAGACTCCTACGACCCAAAGGCCCATGCCTGAAACCATGTTGCTCTGCCCTAAGCACCAGGAGAAAAGTTTTCATGCCTCCTCCAGTATTTCCACCGCCGCGGGAACTGCTAGTCCTAGTGTCTGCTAGGCCTTCAGCACCATCCTAAGACACTGCAGAGGAGGCAGCCCCTGCTCCCCCTTTTCCTTGCCCGGCTTTGTCCTGGCCTAGCCTAACTGGGATTCCCACACCAACCAAACCTCTGGTGTCTCTCTGTAGTGGCCCAGGCTGAGTTCTGCTGCCTCCTACAGGTATCAGCTCCAGTCCCAGGAGGAGACCAAGGAGAGACGGCACTCCCACACCATCGGCGGGCTGCCCGAATCTGACGACCAGGCAGAGTTGCCTTCCCCCCCTGCCCTCTCCGTGTCCCTGAGTGCAAAGGGCCAGCTTACCAACATAGGTCAGTGTTGCTGGTTGCCTGCTGTGGCATGAGATGAAGCAAGGGTCACCCTGCAGCGTGAGGCAAGGCAGCTGACCATGGGATTCCATTGTGTATGTGACTCATGCTAGCTGGTTGCTTCATGGTGGCTCAGTTTGTCCACCCAAAGTAAGATTAAAAGCAAGGTGTTCTAAGATCCTAAACTGAAAAGTTTCCTCCACGTACAAGTCATAGGGTTCTAGAGTATCAGAGACTCCAGATGATGCCACGGAAGAGCCATGAAGCTTGTAGATCAAACTAGTGCCCGAGCTGCCAGTGGCTGAGCGGGCAGCACTCCCATGCGGGGCTGTGGGGAAGGAGTGGGAAAGGGTTACTGAGCAGAATGGGACCAGCTTCCAGACCCAGACAACTCCAGTTCCTCAACTGCTCTGGCTGGGCTGGAACCATCCTAGCCCTGCAGGCAGAGCTGACTAAGACCTGTTCTGGCTACACCCTTTCCAAAGCCGGAGAGAAGAAAAGCTGAGATAGATGGAAGTGGTTAGGTGACGCAGAGACAGGGAGGGGACAGAACCTCGGGGCTGGGCTTGGCCTTGGCACAGAAGCAGACAGCCTGGCTCTGGAAAGTGCTGTGCCAGGCTCGGCCCTAGGGAAACCCCTTTGGGGCAGTGCCTGGCATCGGTCGTTTGCTTCCTGCTTCTCTCTAAACCCATCTCTTTTTGCCAAGTAAAAGAAAGTAGTTAATCTAAAATGAGGAAAATGCCTATGCAGTGACTGGGGAATCTGAGGAAAGACTAGGAGTCAGGGTCAGTGCTGCTCAGGAGGATCATCTGGCCCGGGAAGGGCTTTTTTCTGGAGGATCAGGCCGGCTAGTTTTCCATCTGCATTGAGGACCCGACAAGAGGAAAGGCACTTACGCTGCAGAACAAGGGACTCAAAGGAGCCACAAGAGAGGTGTCAGGCCTTCTGCACAGGCCTTTATGGATAGAGTGGACATCTGCCTGCCTCTGTGGAGACAAAAACTTAGACTTGGGAGCTCCACTAGGGGGTGACCCTAAAAGGCTGTACTCCCAGCAAGGGAGAAAGAGGCAGGTTCTGCAGGCCAAAAGGATTCAGCAGACCTCAGCTTCCAGCAGATCCCACAGTCTTACATGACATGTCTGCCCACTTTCTGTCTGACCTTTAAACCAGGGGGAAGGCTGGACAGAGAAAGCTTCTTGATATTTTAGCGCTGGCCTACAGTAGCCTAGATTAGCACCACTGTGGGGGAGGCTGTCACCCCCTAACATCATGCTGAGTCCCTTGGGTCCCACAGCCTGGCCCCTTTCTCTAGCTGGTTCCTTGTCATCGTTTGATCTTGGTGTGATCTTGGTTGGAGCACTCAGTCTGCCCAGTTTGCCAGCTGTGTTCTAGAGAACCACTACATCCATTTTCATCAGCACATCCCAGGGATGGGATGTGAAGGTTTCGGGAATGCTGCCAGGCCCCCAGCCTCACCTTCAAAAGCACCAACTCCAAGTCAGGCAGGGTTGAAGGAAGGTTCTTATTCCAGACAGCAAGGTCCTTTGCCATTAGGGCTTGACCGCCCCTGGAGGGAACCCACTCCTAACCACCAGCTGCTTGCACACTTCCACTGGCCCACCCGCCCCTTCCTCTCTGCCCTCTCCTCATTGCCTCTCATGTTCCTGGTGCTCCGTCCCTCAAGGGACCAGAGAGCTGATAACCCTGCCTCTTCTCCCGCCTCCCTCTCCTTCTCCTGTCCCCCTTCCCTCTGTCCTTCCAGTGAGTCCCACTGCGGCCACCACGCCAAGAATCACTCGCTCCAACAGCATCCCCACCCACGAGGCGGCCTTCGAGCTGTACAGCGGCTCCCAAATGGGGAGCACCCTGTCCCTGGCCGAGAGACCCAAGGGAATGATTCGGTCAGGATCCTTCCGAGACCCCACGGACGATGGTGAGACTTCATGCCAGCGCGGTTCACGCTCATCCCAGCTCTGCTGGGCCCCCCTCACCCACCACCACCTCCACTGCCACCACTGCCGCCACCACACACACATACATGATTCACAGGACATTGACTTGGGCCATTTCTGTTCTTTCTTCCCATACCTTTGAAGGGTCTGGGGGCCCAGAAACCTTGGGTGGTGCCATCTAGCACTGGGACCTTGGGATGAAGCATCTCATTGGGCTGGGGGAGGGACTCCAGAGTGGAAAATGGTGCCCCTCAGGGTGCTCCGGAAACCAGAGCTTCTGTCCTCCTCCTTCTAGCAGCAGTCTTTCCTTCTCACGGTTGCTCCATTTTAGAAAAGTTAGGGACATAATGGCAGCTCTTAAATCCTCACAAAGCATTAAGTGTCTCATTCTTCTTTCTAGAATGTTCCAAAGATTAGCTTCAGGAACGGTTGTCTGAGTGGCAGCAATGGCGACTGGGTGGGAGACCAGGCCTCGTGAGCTGTCGGGCCTCCCATTGTCATTTTGGGGATTCTCCTTTTGGAAGACGTTTCTCCAAGGTGTACTTTAGTTCTGGCGCTGGGTTCTGTGGAGTAATCAGAAAGAGCACTCCCCACTTACACAGTTTTTCATCTGAGGGACCCCCAGACAAGTTTCCCAAAAGGAGGCACAGGTAGATTTGCAGTATCTGCTCGGAGTATCTCTGACAAGAAATACCCGCTCCTGCAGCTTTAAGTACTTTGCTGACTGGGAAGATGAGATGGTGACTGCCCATGAAACCTCCTCTCCCTCTTGCTGAAGCCTTGTGCTCCTTGGAGCAGGCTGAGCAGGGGACTGCCATGCCCAGGCTGCCAGAGAATGTAGATGAGAGAGGAAACTGCCTCTACTTGGCACTGCAGCCCCCCAAAACCTGCCTGCTTTGGGCTACTGCGATATCAGCTGGGTTCTTTGTTCTGCTTTTTCTGTCTGCTCCAGATGCCTTCCAGAATCAGAAACCAAACTCCTGCTTTCGGGTTCTTCCAGGAACCCTTGTCCCTGGAGCCCCTGCTAACCCTTCATGTTCTCTTTCCCTTTCAGTTCATGGCTCCGTGCTGTCCCTGGCCTCCAGTGCCTCCTCCACGTACTCCTCAGTAAGAGCATTGCCTTCCCTCTCCCACCCCCTCCCCTTCTGTTCCCCACCATCCCATGTTCTCTGGAGCCTCCTTTGGTTGGGTAACTGGGTAGGAGTGGGGCTCCTGTCTCTTTGTTACCCCGATGGATCAGTGGTGGGGAGGGGAGGGTCCCTAGAACTTGGAGCACTTGTTTGGGTGCCTCTGGTCCTCAGCGTTCTTTCTGGTCTCACCACCAATTTCCCTTCCTTTGAAAAATGAGAGTTCCCTTGTTATAGAGCCCTCTCTGTGCCACGGTAAGTAGGAAGCTTTTACAGCAATGTCCTAATACTCTAGAAACTAGAGTCTTCACTGTGAGAGTTGAGCTGGCGTGTATTGTGAGCCACTGTGCACAGCATTTGGCTTTCGGGTATTTGATTCTTACCATTTTTTTACTCCCTCAGGGTGCTGTCAGTAAGGGTTAGTTTTCAAATCAACCAAAGTTTCATTTCCTAGCCTTCTCAACAGCAACAAAGTTGGCTGAAAAGAAAGTAGAGAAATTATTTTTAAAATTTACTTTTTTTTTTTTTTTGGAAACACTCTTGCTAATTTGCTGAGTTGCCCAGGCTGGGCTTGAACTTGTGATTCTCCTGCCTCAGCCTCCCTAAGTGCTAGGACTACAGGCATGTACCACCAATCCCAGCTGAGAAATCTTTTATTAAAAACCTAGTTTAGGTCTGAGGCTGGTAAGGAGCGGGGTCAGGAAGTAAGCTTCACTATCTCTGCACCTTTGAATCGAGCTTCTTCAAGTCTGCCCTGCCACTGGGGCCTGGCTTCTCTCTTTCTGTAGTAACACCTCCTTTCTCTCTCTCCCTCTTTCTCCTGTGCTGCCTGCTTCAGGCTGAGGAGAGGATGCAATCTGAGGTAGGGTCCAAAGCCTTTCCCTCTGCTTGTTAACACCACTACACCTGGTCTTCCTTCCAAATCTACTTCCTGGGCCGTTAGTAGTTTTGCCTTTCTCTTCCTTTTGCAGCAAATCCGGAAGCTTCGTAGGGAACTGGAATCATCCCAGGAAAAAGTGGCCACCCTGACCTCGCAGCTTTCTGCCAATGTGAGTACCTGAAGCACGAAAAGACCAGGCCACTTATTGTCACCATCATTATGATAAATTCTGCCAAGGAAAAAGAGTCAGACAAAAAGGAAGATTATGCCCTGGCCTTAGATGCTAAGGGAGTGGGTTTCCACAGCTCCGCTACAGCAGAGTCACCACCATTTTCACAGTGGGCCATTTTGCCGCCGCCCTAATTGACAGGTTTGATAGGTTGGTGTCTAGTGGTCTTTGACTTTTCCTAGACAGAGAAGAGGTTTCCCAGGGGATCTGCAGGGAAACCAAAAAGGCCTTGCCATCAACTGTGAACAGAAATAAGTATGGATTTAATTATACAGCCCTCAGGGTCCTTTCTCATTGTCTCAGGGCATGTCTGTGTCTTTGTTGACACCTCGTACCTGGGAAGCACAGAAGTAGCCAGGATCCTGCCTGGTGATCACTTCCAAGCCTAACTCCCATTCTGGCTTGATCTTTCCTTTACAGCCACCCACCTGATGCCCTGAGCTTTAGGTTGGGATGCAGTGTTTTTTGTATTTGCCCTCAGCTTGCCCTCATTATGTCCATTCAGAATCTTTCCTTAGGCCTTAGTTTTTCTATTCTGTGAGATGGGGAGAAAAGAAGCCACTTCATCTAACCAGGTTGTGGTAGTTTCTCCCCTGAGGTCAAGTTACAGGCAGAGAACATAAGAGGCATTTTTCCCAAAGCTATAAACAACAGCTGAGCCGGATCTGTAGGAGCTTTCCAAGTGTTTGCACAAAAAGTAACCATGTCTCCAATTTCCGCAGTAGTTTCTGGGTTTTTTTCTCTTCTTTTCCTCTCTGGGGAAACCAGCTGTCAGGCTCAGGGGTCTATTCCTTGGAATCAGGTAGAATCTCCACCAAAACTATGCATCTTCCCAATCTATTTCAGCAGCAGGTCCTCACCACATTGATTTCTTTTTTCCCTCGACCCTCAGCTCATAAATTGTATACTTACTGGCTTGTTTAATGTTCATGGCAAGCACTTGTCCCCACTCTTGGGGACCCATTGCAGTTCCAACCTGAACAGACCCATCTTTTCTCTCCCCCGTGCCACACTCACCCAGCCCACTGGCCTGGGTCACATCGTGCACACCCCAGGAAATTCATGTCTGGGAGATGCTGGGGGAGAGGCGCCAGGGAGGCAGAGAACATTATTATGTCTGATTCATTTACACTGCAGTCTGTCAGCCATCGTGCTGTCAAGACTAGGCGAGGGCCAAGAAAATGAATTTAGAGGGCGATTTTTCTTAGAACAGGAAGTTCCATTCGGCTAAAAGAGAACAAACTAAATACCCAGACACAGTGCATTCTGAGTCTAGAAGCAGATTTTAGCTGAGGGTCAGAGCCCTGCCCTCAAGCAGGAGATGTGATGCCAGAACCCCAGGAAGGTCTCAGAGCTCTCTAGTGTCCCCTGGTGCTGAGCCAGACTTTTGTCATATTACATGGCACTTCCAAACTACTGAGGCTGAGGGTACAACCCGTATCAGGATGGGCCCAGGCTGCTCTCTCAGTGTGACCCCTCCACCCTGGGCCCAACGGCAGCCTAGGCTGCGGTTGGGATTAAAGGAGGGATCAGAGTAGGAGATAGAAATGTGAGAGAAGAGTAGAAAACCCTAGGCCTCAAGATGAAGAGAAGCCAGCACAGAAAAGCACACAAGAGGCCAGGAGTTCTTGGGACTCATAGAATTTCAGAGACTACCAGCTGCCTGTCTCCAGTCACACCAGGATGTAGAGAAGACCTGAGATGAGGAAGACAGAAGTGAAAGAAAGCTGCTTGTGTTGGGACATTCTGCTAAGGGACAGAGGCCTTGACAGATTTACAGTGAAAGTGGAAGGAAAGGCTCAGATGGGAGGAAAGGGACTGACTTTAGGTGTGGTCCAATGAAAGTAGACTGTTTCCTATTTCAGGGGCACTGGGTGACAACTAGAGTCAACCCACCAAGGAGGGATACTTGCAAGCCAATAGGAAGCAGCGAGTTCCACATGAAGGGCCTCCCAGCACGGATCCATGAGTTCTTGCTAGGGTTACCAGCTTGTTCTCAAATGGCTATTTCTCCACCCTTGAGTGTTCCCCTTTCTGGTTCCATGCCTTATTCTCCCCACCCTCTCTATACATCCTCCTGCCAGTTGGCCAGCAAGAGTTCAAACCTACTCAACATGGCTTTAAATCACCCTTCAGCCCCTGCTGCCCAGCCTGCCTCTATCCTGCACCCCTCACAAAGCAGTCCTGACACCTAGTGGCCAAACTGGGAAATGGCCCTGAGGTTTCTAGTCACTTCCGCTCAAGCCCTACGAAATGGGGTGGAATAGGGGGGATTAAAGCAAGGACAGCTCCAAAGCAAAAGATGAGTTCAGAATGCAGACCACCTTGGGTGAGTGCAGAGGTGGAGGAGATGTACCAGACAGATTCTCCTAGGAGTTTATCTGGGGCTAATCCCTACACGGTAGAGGAGTTAAACCAAAGTAATGGGACAGACCCCAGGGGATGTGATCCTCCCATGTCACAAGCCTGCTATGCACATATCACATAAAGCAGAGGGACTGTCCCACCTCTGGTAGATGATAGGTACTGGAGCCCATCTCCAGGAGCCTCCTAAAGCCTGCTTTCTTCATTATTTAAAAACCTGATTTCTGCCAGAAGATGTTGATTCTACCTCGATTCGGTATTTTAAAATCATCACAAGATGTAGTGGCCTTGGTCAGCTCTGTTAAAGCGACTTCTTTCCCCCAGCCCGGCACAGTTTAAGATCCTTCTGTGTTTGTTCTAGGCTAACCTAGTGGCTGCTTTTGAGCAGAGCCTGGTGAACATGACATCTCGCTTACGGCACCTGGCAGAGACCGCGGAGGAGAAGGTGAGAGCTAAAAAAGGGGGTTCTGGGCCCAGCCAGCACTGCCCTCCTCCTCTTGCTCACCAGTGCCAGTTCCTCCCACCCTGGTGTCATCTGGATTCTTACGTGTCCCCTCAGCCCAGTGTCACCATCCTCCCTGCCCCAATTCCCTGTCTTTGTCTATTAAGTTTGGGAAAATTACAGGACTTAGCCAGTGGCCTGGCACATTGTAGGTGCTGGTGCTTATGCCAAATGACAAATGACACTGCTTTCATTTCACTCTTAGGACACTGAGCTGCTGGATTTGCGGGAAACCATAGATTTTCTGAAGAAAAAGAACTCTGAGGCTCAAGCAGTCATTCAGGGAGCCCTGAATGCCTCAGACACCACCCCTAAAGGTAGGACAGCCAGCAGCAGGTTGCTGCAAAATGGGGAAAGAATGAGGAGGAAAGATCACTGCAGCTTTCCATCCGGGCCTACAATGTACTGGCTGTGGAAGTTTCTGGAAGCTGAGGACCCTTAGATGCCCTCTAGGGATGCCTGGACAGGTCAGTGATTTGTGCCAGAGGCATGGCCCCACCATCCCCAGCCTGAGGGCACATGGAGGAGATCTGTCATCCTCACAGGTTGTCTCCTTGTCTTTAGGTCAGAACCAAAGAGCTGTCAAGGACAATCATTAAAATAGCACTTTACATTTTTACCCAAATAGGTTGTCTACACTGGTACTTATAATTTTATTCCATCCTCACTTCAGTGGTCGAGGGTGATGCAATGTACTCTTTGGAGGAGGTGGATGGCCAAAGCTCACATAGGTCGCCTGGGCCTGGGATTCGGTAACTCGTCAGGCTTGAGTACAGATGGCTGGTAATCAGAAGCCTTAAAACTTGGCAACTCCACCTCCAGTCAGACCTCTGGGGCAGCTTGTCTCAGAATAAAAATTAAAAAGATCTGTTTCGCAAGTGGGAAAGAAACCAAGAGATGGTGGGAGGGAGAAGTAAAAAGAATTAAGATGTGTACACATACCAACTCCCCACAATGACTGTAGTCATTATGTACTGCAAACATGCACTGGAGAAAAAGAAAAAGAAAAGCAAGAAAGGGCTGGGGATGTAGCTCAGTGTGAAGGCTCCAGATTTAATTCCCAGTACCAGAGAGAGAGAGAGAGAAAGAGAGAGAGAGAGAGAGAGAGAGAGAGAGAGAGAGAGAGAAGGAAATGAACATTTTCAAGTCAGAACTCCATTGACTGTTCCTCCATTGACTGTTCCTCCCTCCATCGATTATATTATCTAATCATTATTTATTTTCTGTCATCTTGTTGGAAAGAGCTATTCCATCTGGCCACAAACAGTCCCTTACCTAATGCTTTGAGCACTCCAACCGTGACACACCCCTACGCACATACTCTCCTTTCTTTCACTCTGGCCTTTTAGTCTGCCTTTGTGTTTGTGTTTGCTTTTGTTTTGTCTTTTGAGACAGGGTCTCACTATGTAGTTCAGGCTAGGCTAGAACTCACAGTGATCATCCTACCTCAGCCTCTGAGTGCTGAAAGCCAGACAATGAGTGCTAAAAAAAGAGAGAAAAACGCTCACACACACACTACTGACCCCTCGAATTTCCAAGATTTGGCCATCGACATCTTCTTTCTTCATTGAACCCCTCTAGCTTCTGAGTCATGTCCCCATCTCAGTCTCCTCCTTCTACTCTGATTCCTTCATGGAACCTCCTCAAGTACTGGTGTCATATCTAGCCTATACTTCTTTTTTTTTTTAAGACTACGTCTAACCAGGTAGCCCATGCTGGCCTGATCTTCCTACCTTGGTCCATAATTTCCATAACCCTCTATCTTTTTTTGTTTTAAATTGAGATATGATTCACAAATCATAACATTCACCCTTGTGAAGCACATCACTGATTGTTTTTAGCATATTTAAAGGCTGTGCAAGGCTGTGTGGTAGAGCTCTTGCCTAACATGGGTGAGGTCCTGAGTTCCATCCCGAGTATCTAACAACCACCACCAAAAAAGGTTATACAGCCATGGCCACCAGCTAATTCCAGGGCATTTCCCTTAAAAAGGCACCCCAATCCTGTGAGTAGCACTCACTAATTTCCCCTCCTCTCATTTCCTGGATACCACTAATCTATTTTCTGTTTTTGGATTTGCCTATTTTGGACATTTAATATAAAAGGAATCCTATGATGTATGGTCTTTTGTGGTTGGCTGCTTTCACCCAGTAGAATGTTTCCAAGATTCAGCCATGTGGTATCAGTGTGTCAGTACATCAGTGTGTTAGTACATTTCTGACTAATATTCCACTGTGTAGATATAGTGTTTCCTGGAAAACAAGACCTAGCTGGAAAATAATCAGCCTTGAAAACTAGAGATCAAAAAATAGCAGCCCCAGTCAGCCTACGTGGGTCTCACCTGCCTTACAGAGTAGCCATCAAGCAAGAGAATCATGATGGCTGATGAGTCAAGGACAGGCTGATTGGGCAGGCATTTGTGATCTCTAATTTTCAAGGCTGGCTTATTTTCTGGCTACCTTTTGTCTCCAGGGAAAGATGCTACTACATTTTGTTTATCAGTTCATCAACTGATTGACATTGAATTGTTTTCATTTTTGTCTGTTATGAGCAATACTATAATGAATATTCACAAATTAGCTTTTGTGTAACCATATACCCTCAGTTCCCCGGGATATATATTTACAAGTAGAGTATCGGGACCACATGGTAACTTTGTGTTTGACTTTTTGAGGTACTGTCAGGCTATTTGCTAAAGTAATTACAGCATTTTTATTCCTGCTAACAATGTGTGAGGATTCCAATTTCTTCACATCCTTACCAATTTTTCATTGCCTTCTTTTTTGTTATAGACATCCTGGTGGGTGTGAATGTGATTGTGCTTTTGACTTTAGTTTTCCTGTTGGCTAATGATGTAGAAGATTGCTACATGTGTTTATTTGATATTTGTGGTACTGTCATGAGCAATGTGTATTCAGCTCATTCACTAGTCTTAAAATCAGGTTGTTTTTTTATTGTTCAGCTAAGAATTTTTTTATATGGGGTAGTGGACTCTTATCAGATAAATTATTTGCAAATATCCTCTCTCATTCTGTGTGTTGTATTTTCACACCTTAAGGGTGTCCTTTGAAAAACAATAATTTTCTGTTTTGATGAAATAAAATATCTGAGGGTTTTTTTTTTGTTTGCTTGCCTTTATTTTTTTTTGAAACAAGGTCTCATTATGCAGATATGATCTATCTAATTCCTTTTACAACTGGATATCCAGTTGCCCAGACACTATTTGTTGAAAAGACCACTTTTCCCCATTGAATTGTCTTGGCATCCTTTAGGAAATGAGCTGGCCAATACTGTGTGGGTTTATTTCAGATGCGCTCTATTCCCATCATCTGTAGGTCTAGGCTTAATCAGCACCACATTATCTCAATTATTATAATTGTGTAGTACATTTTAAAATCCAGATGTTGGAGCCGGGTGTGGTGGCTCACACGTGTAATCCAGCACTCGGAAGGCTGAGGCAGGAGGATCATTGTGAGTTCAAGACCAGCCTGGGCTACAAAGTGAGCTCAAGGCCAGCCTGAACTGCATAGAGAGACCCTGTCTCAAAAAAAAAAAAAAAGAAAAAAAATTACAAAATTAAATTGAGATGTCTGAGTTCTAGGGCCTTTGGCTACTTCATACCCTATCCATTTCCATGTGAATTTTAGGGTTACTTTGTCATCTCTATTTTTAAAAAGTCAGCTGAGATTTTTGGTAGATTATGTTGATTCTGTGTCTCAATTTTAACAATATCTTAACAATATCAGATCTTAAAAATCCATGAACATGGTGTGCCTTTTCATTTATTTAGATATTTTTCTATTTGTCTTGGTGATATTTTGCAACTTTGATGATAAAAGTTTCATTGTTTTTACTAAACTTATTTTTATGCTAGTATAAGTAGAATTGTTTTCTCAATTTCTCTTTTAAGTTATTAAGTTATTTCTCTTTTAAGTTATATAGAAATACAAACCAAGGATGGTGACATACCCTCATAATTCCAGCCACTGGCAGGCTAAGGCAAGAAAATGTCATATCTGAGTCCAGTCTGTCAATTCATTGAGACCTTTTCTCAAAAAATACAAAGGGCTCAGGATGCAGCTCGGTAGTGGGCCCTTGCCTAGTGTGTGCAGATCCTATTTAGGTTCAATTCCCAGTGCCACAGAGAAAATAAAATGCAGTTGATTTTTGTCTGCTTATTAATCTTGTATCCTACTAACTTACTAGGCTCATTTAGCTCATAGTTTTCCAACTTCTGCCTAATCTGTATTTCTATCCGGCTCTGTATTTCTGTCCTAAGTTCCTCTTTACAGTTGTAGACATTTCCACCTCATTGACCTCAGAGGTATCTCTTAATTTAGTATTTCCAAAATTAAAAGCCATGGGCTGGGGTTTAGCTCAGCGGCACAAGCGCATGTCTGGCAAGTGCGAAGTCAAGAGTTTGATCCCTAGTAAACCCCCCCCCCCCGCAAAAGTTAAAAGCCACCCTGTCTACCCCCTTTACAAATACACAAGCCAACCATCAGCTGAGACTACAGCCTTGCTCATCTCAGGAATTATCTGCTTGGCCACCTAGACCACAAATAGGAGTTATCCTTGACTCCTTACTGTTCCATCCTGTGCAGTAAATTAGTGCTCGTTCCCATATGCACCTCAATTACATTCCTCCTTGCTTCTGGATTAGTACAGCCATTCCCTAATTTATCTTGTCTTGCTCCAGGGTTTCTTTTACACTACCTCCAAAGCAATTCACTTTTATCAGTTAAGATCAGAACGTGTTCCAATTCCAGTTTGAACTAGATATTAGGCAAAAGGATATTGTTGTTGTGGTGGTTGTTGTTGTTGTTGTTGTTGTTGTGTGTGTGTGTGAGAGAGAGAGAGAGAGAGAGGCAGAAAGATAGAGATATTGTGAGGTGGTGTCCTTCGCAAAACATGCATCCTGGAGTGTTCGCTCAGTGGTTTAATGTCATTTAAATTTTCAGTTAGGTAGAGGACACAGGGGTGTTCACTATACTATCCTTTATGTTTTTCTGTGTGTTTGAAACATTTCAGGAAAGCAAGCTGAACAGGGAAAGAATGCATTTCAAGCCCTTTAACATGTACTTGTTCTCCTCCTGGACCAGCCAAACCTTTAGCCTTACCTCACATCCCTCTCTTGTATGTGCTATCCGCCCACAATAGTACCACTTACGGTAATCGAACATTGCCCTGATGTTAGGCTTTTCTCTAAGCATCTGACATATAGTAATTCATTTGTTCCAGATAAAAACTTATGAAGTATGTTTTATAAATAAATAAGATCAGAGAAAATAATTTATTGAAACACCACTCATAAGTGAGCAATCTAGAATATTTCTTTTCCTTTTTTTTTTTTTTTTTTTTTTTCTGGGAAATTGCACTCAGGACCTTGCATTTGCCAGGCAGGCACTTGTGCCGTTAAACCGTATCCCTGACCCAGATCTGGAATGTTCTGCTATTTTTAATTTTACAAATACATTTTGCTCTTCAGATATATATGCTTGCTAAATGAATGCTTTTTTTTTTTTTTTTTGCTTTGAGCTTTAATATTATCCTCAGTTCTTATTGATCCAGGCTTAATTTGATCAGGAAAAGGCTAGGAGCTTTCAAAGAGCTAATGCTTATTAAGCCATGATGCCTAACTTTATTTAATTTGTAAACAAGTAAGAAATTTACATGGCACAAAATTCAGAATGCACAGATTTTTTTTTCTTTTTACTTTTTGAGTATTAACCATTCTATAATATATCTTTTGCTCTCAAAAATACCTTTGTACAGGTTGCTTATTTATTTTTGTGGTACAGGGGCTTGTACTCAAGCCTTTGCACTGAGTTATATTCCAAGGGTTTTTTTCTCTTTTTTTTTTTTTTTTTCATTCTTTATTTTGAGATAGATTCTAAGTTGCCCAGGCTGGACTCACATGCAGTCTTGCTATCTCAGGCTCCCAGAGCGCTGGGATTACAGGTGCACATCACTGCTCCCAGCTGTGTATTTTTATTTAATTGATAGGCTCATAGCTAATCAAAACCTCCCAAATTATAGATAAATACATGTACTTGTATGTAGCCATGCTTCATTTTGTTTTTCATATACTAATTTCAATTAAATTAATTTTTTATCATAAAAGTAATAATACTCTGGGGCAATTATAAACTGTGGGTTGGCAAACCATGGTCCATTAGCCAAATCTGATTTGTGTGTGTGCGTGTGTGTGTGTGTGTGTGTGTGTGTGTGTGTGTGTGTATTATTGGGGCTTGAACCCAGGGCCTTTATGCTGAGCTATATTCCCTGCTCTCTTCATTTATTTTGCAACAGTAAACTGCCAAGTTGCTCAGGCTGAATTCTAACTTGTGATCCTCCTGCCTCAGCTTCCCAGAGTGCCAGGATTATAAGCATGTGCTACCACACTTGGTTTCACCACTAGTTCTTAAATAAAATGTTAATAACACACAGCATGATCATTATACACATATTATATGTGGCTGCTTTAATAGCAGAGCTGACTGAGGCATATGTTATGGCCACAAAGCCTGAAATATTTACTCTTTGATCCTTTACAATAAAAGTAAACTACAGAAAAAGATATGTGGTAAAATATAAAATCACTTTCTCAGAACCATTCCTCAAGTCCCACTTCCCAAAGGTAAGTACTGCTAAGAGTTCTTATGCATCTTTCTAGATACAAGCAAATATGTCAATTTTTACTAAATAATAGGTTTTTTTATTTTGTTTTGTTTTTGATGTTTTGAGACAGGGTCTTGCTATGCAGTTCAGGCTGGCCTTGAGCTCACTTTGTAGCCCAGGCTGATCTCAACCAACCATCCTCCTGCCTCAGCATCCCATGTGCTGGATTATGGGCATATTCCACCATCTCTGCCTTTCTCTCTCTCTCTCTTTCTCTCTCTCTCTCTCTCTCTCTCTCTCTCTCTCTCTCTCTCTCTCTCTTTCTGCTGGGGATCAAACTCATGACCTTGTGCTTGCCAGGCAGACACTGCTGTGCTATATCCCCAGCCTGTATTGTCTCTTTTTTAGAATTTTATTTTAAAGAGAATAAAACCAAACAAAATAAAGCCAATCAAAACAAAACAATGAAAGTGATACATGACTTCAAAACAAGATAATAGGGGCAGGGAGGTCTGCGGTTGAATTTTGCTCCTGCATCCTGACATTTTCCTGTGTTCCTCCACATCAGCCCATTGCTGCATCCTGGGTGCTCCTGCATTGGCTGCCAGTCCCTCCGTGTAGTGCATTGGACGAGGCACCTATGTTCCTCTGATCCAGGGTTCCTAGAGTGGTGGACAAGAATGGGGCAGTGATTCTCCCTGATAGCAGCGGGGGCCTTGAGGCATGGCTTCTTCTCCCAGTTCATATACTCTTGAAAATTTTTCACACCCTTTCAAAATAACCAAAGTACTTTGACTATCATTAAACAAAGAATTTTCTGTTTTAAAAGCTCTGTTAGTTTCAACAGATTTTAAGTAGAATTCTAAGACACTGTCTTCCTTGTAACACTGAGGGAAAATTATAGTTTAAAGATCTATTTTTGGAGCTAGGCATGGTGGTATACACCTGTAATCCCAGCACTCAAGAGGCTCAAGCAGGAGGATTGCTGTAAATTCAAGGCCAGTCTGGGCTACTTAGTGTGAGTTCAAGGCTAGGCTGAACTGCATAGTGAGACCCTGCCTTTAAAAAAAAAAATCTGGTTTTGGAATAGACAGAGTAAGAAATAGCCAAGTACAAATATTACCTCTCTGCTTAATAGCTCTTGTTTATAGAATAGTTACAAGCAGTCACTTATCTAACTAGTCTCCTATATCTGGTCTAGTTTCTTACTTCTTTTTTGTCATTATTAACAGTTTTTTAAAAAGGTCTTGTGACATTGCACTGTAGTTACACAAGATGTTAACGTTAGACTGGGTTAAAAAGCATCTTTGCAGCTTTTCAATAATCTGTTATGATTCTCAAATAGAGTTTTAAAACTCTAATAATGCTATGCTTTTGTCACAAAATCTCTGCTGCCCATGACCAAGCAGAGGTTACAAGGGCGTATTTTCTTTAGAAGGCATGTGGGGCTCCCCTGACCTGACCTGACCCAACCCAAACTCCATGCTCGCCTCTTTCTGTGCTCCTGAAGCTGCCCTGGCTGCCTGCCCGAAGCCCCGCACAGCACAGCCAAAACCCTGCACAGTGCCTTTGCATGCACTTTCTCCAGCCTCAAACATTTTGCCAGCGTTCCAGCCAAGGTCTTTCTCTCCTCTCCTTACTCTATCCTTTCCTTCCCTGCTGTAGAAGAGTGGAGCATTTTTATGTCATTACAGCCTTCTCTGACAGCCGAGATTTTCTAGCCACCAGATGAGAGAACTGAAGGCAATTTAGGTTAAATGCAGGGCACGTGACTACTTATGCTTGTCGCTGGACCACAGGCAGCCAAGTATTGGTGGAGAAATCATTAAAAATGATAGGGTTGGGGCTGGGGATTTAGCTCAGCGGCATAAGCGCCTGCCTTGCAAGCAGGCAGTCATGAGTTCGATCCTCAGTACCGATAAAAAGAAAAAAGACAAAAAAAAAAAAAAAAAGATAGGGTGATGTCTGCGTGGAAGTATAGAAGGCCCACTCTGAGTAAGTCCTCAGACCGATTCAAGCTTACTTTGTGACACTTCTGTTTCCCCTAGCCTGTGAGTTTCTTGAGAATAGGGCTCATTTCTTAATGTTTACCATTAGCATTGTTTCAGAGTTAGGATGCGTTTGGCATTCTGTAAATGTTTTCTGAATAGATGTTTCAAAAAGCAAATACTGTACACCGAGGAGTCTGTTGATTCTCTTCCCCTCTTCTCTCCCATAGCTAGAGTTGCCTTGAATCTCACGACGTCTCTAAATCTACTTCTATGTTCTTACTCCCTTTCCTTGGTCCCAGAGCTCCGGATCAAGAGACAGAACTCCTCAGATAGCATCTCAAGCCTCAACAGCATCACCAGCCATTCCAGCATTGGCAGCAGCAAGGATGCTGAAGCCAAAAAAAAGAAGAAAAAGAGTTGGGTGGGTAAAGGTTTGGGGCCGGGACCACGTAGACCCATGTGGACACCTTCACCTCAGCACAGGGTTGATCCTGCCAGGATTAACCAAGCAGCAGTCCCTTCTAGTCCTAAACCTATTTTCTGTCTGCGCAGGGCAGTTCCCTACTTGTCACAGGCTCTTCCTCAACCTTAAACACCCCTGCTTTCGTGGGACTGTCCGTATGATGTGGTCCAGCGTATGGCCACAGACAGAAATGGAGAAAATGCTCAGGAAGTTATGACTTACCAGTTCCTTACTTCCCCACTTCCTGCTCCCTTTTTACTATGGAAAAAAGATTTTATAAACAAAGCCGTCCATTCTAGATGCTCCTGGAGGTAACCTCCGTTGGGGAAAGGTGTTTGTGGGGCTTCAAAAGGACTTTCATGTTGTTTTTGGCTGGGCCATGAGCAGTTTTTTATGGCTCCCTCGTAACCCTAAGCTGGCCTTGGATGACCTTTGTGAAATTCATGAATGGTTGGCCTGTGAAAGGGAGTGTGTCCCCAGATGGAAACATCTTGCTGCTCTGTCCCCTAGTCAGGTCCCCACAGGCTTTCGTGTAGTGCAGATAGGAGCCAGCTGTGTGCAACGAGTGATTAAGTGCTTCTTCTTCTCCTTTTTTTTTTTCCCTTCAAAATGCTGACTTCAAATCCCTATTTTTTTCCAGGTCTATGAGGTAAGAGAGCTGGTTCCTCTCCCTTTATTTTCTCTTCCCCTTTGCCATACCTTCCCCATTTCCAGAGCAACTCCTTCCTCCTAAAAACAGAATGCCCACCCACAACACTAACTGTAACAACCACTCGAGTGTTCCTAACTCCACTGCATGGCCCATCCACAGCTGCCCACAGGAGACAGAGGAGGGGTCTGGTTGTGGGTTGAATGGGAAAGTCGGAACAAAACCTGTTTCCTACTGTCTTTCCTTGTTGCAAAATTGACCTATTACAAAAAGCAGGCAAGTTGAGCTTATCCTATCCAGAAAATGAGCCTTTTAAATTTTGTTCCATTAATCTCAGGGATTCCAAATGGAGGCAAATCACTGGGTGAAGGTTATCAGAGCACAATTCCCAGAGGCCAGTTCAGTTGAGGTCATTCTAAAGTTACAACTGTGAAGCAGGACAAGGGTAGGAATATGGCCCAGCCCTGAGCACACTAAAGTCATCCTAACTTTAGAGTAATACCCTCTAAACATCCATGAAGTTGCCAAAGAATAATCTAAGACAAACAAAGTGTACCCAGAATTCCGTTACAGAAAGACATTTAAGGTTCACTCTAACCCTGTCCTAATGTTGTACTAGATATTGTGAAGGATGAGAAACACCAAGTCTACTACCTCAGTTATTAAGGAGCTCACAGGTTTGCTAGAGACAAAAAAAAAAAAAAAAAACCTTGTATATACAAAATGAATGACATTCCAGTAGTGCTAAGATGCTTACTTAACAGGTTTAATTGCTAAAGCAGTTTACAGATGTGAAAGACTGATTTTGGAGTAGGAAAACATCACAAAGAAAGAAAAACATACACTGAGTTTGAGCTGTGATAGGCAGTGAGGAGTGTGTTGGGTTGCTTTCTGCGTGGACACTGCTCAGAAGAGAACAGTGGCACTAGGAGAAGGTCAGTGTAGCCAGTGCCCTATCTGGATGGGTAGAGCACAGGTGGGAGGACCTACTGGTCATTTAAACCTGATTCTTCAGCATTTCCCACAGTAGATTCCACAAATCACTAACCCACTGAGATGTACCTTAAAAAGTGATACCATCATCAAATAAATTTGAGAAACACTGCAGTTTCTACAGTGCACATCTGCATAGGAAAAGTTCTGAGATGCCTCTCAGTAAAGAATTCTGTTTGGTATTGCTTAGTTTATGGTTTCCTGAATACATTTAATCATGGGTCCATTAGCCACCAAATACCAAACTTCTCTGGCCTGCTGAACACTACACATAGAGTATGGTTCTCACTTAGACTCTTAATGACCTCAGAGAGCATATGCTCCAAACAACTTGTGATCACAAGATTTCTTTCTGCATACACAAGGACACACACACACACACACACACAACCTTTCCATGAGGTAGTGGTGTAGAGAAAGCTTCATTGGATTGAAAATTAGAAGGTCCAAGTCCCAGTTCCAGGTCTTCTTCAGTTATGCAGTACCAAGCAAGCCAACCCTGTCTTCAGCCTTAGCTCTTCATCTCCACACAGAATGAAGCTTTATGGTCCTTTTAAGCCTGGAGAGCTGAGTGATCTTAAGTGCTCTGGAAGCAGCCTTAAGCTGCCCAGGTATTCGCTCCTCGTATCCTCACACAGCCAGATTGGTCCTCCTTTATACTTTGTCCAGTAGAAACCCCACACACACCACCTGCTAGCTCCAGCCATCACAGAACAGTCTTCCATGCTCCAGGAGAGATTCTCAGAAAGGACATTCTCCAATTTTCTCTTTTTCCTCTTCCCAAGGTCTGGCTTTTCTTTGTCCCCCATAACTTCCACCCTTCCTTTGCTCTGTCTTTTGCTGCTGTTCCATGTCGTCCCCTGTGTGTGTGCATGCGGAACGAATGCATGTGAGGGGGTGTGGGACACACCCTGGTTTGTACCTGCAGCTCACATCCCTAACACTCATGCTCATCAACACCAAGATCAAACAGCCTATGCCCAGATTATAATGCCCTAGGTAGTCTGGAAATGGTGCACAACAGAATGTCTGAAATAGTAAAAAGTGCCGATGTCTGATTTTCTTAAGCATTCTGCGATGTGATAGGCAGAAGAAATGAAATGTGGTACCACCACCTTCTCTTGATCTCCACAGAATCATATCGTTTGTGCCTAGTTGATTTGTGAAGCAGTAAATAGATTCTAGGCTGATGAATCCAAGTCACAGGTGCCATCCTGAGACCTAAAGTGAGCTATGTTCTAGATTGAGCTGTCACTGGTCTTCTGGAGAAGGTGGGATTGGATTATTGAGAAGGTATGCCAGGTGACCTCCGGGACTTCTCTGTCCTCACACCCCATGGCAAAGAGAAGGCCTAAGAAGTTCCGGTAGCCTATAGAGGCAGCAAGCCAAAAGATCGCATTCTTTCTCTCAGTCCTAGTTTCCAGGCAACGCTTCTCTCCATATACTATGAACCACATGAAGCCTCATATAGCAGGCTTAATTACAACAAAGACATTCCCTACCTCCATACCACCTTGTTGCAGAAGTCCCAAATCAGTCCTTCCTTGTCACCAGAGTGCAGCCCTGATGTCTGTCTATGTGGATATGTTCTTTTCTAGCTTCGAAGTTCCTTCAACAAAGCCTTCAGTATAAAAAAGGGGCCCAAGTCAGCTTCCTCATACTCTGATATTGAGGAAATTGCCACACCCGACTCCTCAGCCCCCTCCTCCCCTAAACTGCAGCATGGCTCCACAGAGACTGCCTCACCCTCCATCAAGTCCTCCAACTCATCCTCTGTGGGCACTGATGTCCCCGAGTAAGTGCTCCAACTACCTGCCACCAGCCTGGTACCAGTGTGCATTGCTGGCCTCTTCCTGGGCATGTGAGACCCACTAGGGACCTTGTCATACTGATTGGGTATTGTGGGCAGAAAGAATTGAGACTACCCATGATGCATGTCAGTATCCCCAAGTAATGTTTCTCCAGGAGGCTGGCTGACCCGTGTCTTCTTACAGGGTGCCTGCTCACTCAGCCCCCCACACAAGGCTCTTCCACACCAATGAGGAGGAGGAGCCGGAGAAGAAGGAGGTATCAGAGCTGCGCTCTGAGCTGTGGGAGAAAGAGATGAAGCTTACAGACATCCGCTTGGAGGCCCTTAACTCTGCCCACCAACTGGACCAGCTTCGGGAGACCATGCACAACATGCAGGTCAGCGTTAGGCAGAGCTGCAGGGAAGGGGAGCCCAAGGCCTGAGACATGTCCAACCTTGCCACCCTTCCCTGTCTGTTCTTGCCACAGCTGGAGGTGGACCTGCTGAAAGCAGAGAACGACCGGCTGAAGGTCGCCCCTGGCCCCTCCTCAGGTTCCACTCCAGGGCAGGTCCCTGGATCCTCTGCTCTGTCATCCCCTCGCCGGTCCCTCGGTCTTACACTTACCCATTCCTTCAGCCCAAGCCTCACAGACACAGGTACCTGTTTGGGAGAAGGGCATCTAGGTATAGAGAGAAGAAATGGCCCATTTCACTGTTGCACTATTCCACTTCTGCCGTGGCTTCTTAATTGGGAGATAACAGAGCCAAACAAAGCAATTGCCAGTGTTAGATGTGGAGAGTTATTGGCAGTGCTGGGAGTTGAATCATGAGCCTTTGCACTGAGCTATATCCCCAGCTTTCTTTCTTTTTTTTTTTTTTTTTTTTTGAGATAAGGTCTTACTGACTGGCTGGTTTTAAACTTGCCTCCTGCCTCAGCCTCCCAAAGTGCTTAGATTTCAGGCATGCAGCACTAACCCAGCTTCATGTGATCTGAAACCCTGATATCTTTTCAGTTTAGGGCTCCCATTTCCTATTTGTGGTGAATAGTTATTTGAAAAGGATAATGACTAGAAAATTTAAGAAAATCTGTGAGTACCTTTTAAACAAATTAGTCTTTTTCAATTCCCACAGACCTGTCACCTATGGATGGCATCAGCACCTGCGGTCCAAAGGAGGAAATATCCCTTCGGGTGGTGGTTCGGATGCCCCCTCAGCATATTATCAAAGGGGTAAGGAACTTTGGGAAGGGCCAGGATAGGAATCAACATAACACAAACACTCCCCAACTTGATAATGGTACCAGAGCTATGCATGTTCAGCAAGCAGAAACTGTGCTTCTGATTTTAAACTCTGATCTTTTCTTGGGCTGGCAACGTGCAGTATGAAACTTCCTCAAGATATTGTGTAAGGAGAGTGAGCCATAGCTCCCTGTCAACCAGTTCCAAGGACAGACAACCAATATTCTACAGGGAACTGTATTGTGATACTGTGATGTTCAGGTTATGGATATTAAATGTACTTTTGATAGAAACCTCTAGAAGGACTGAGTACAGGAATTTTTTTTTGTTTTTGTTTTTTGTGGATTTTTTTGTTCCAGGGATCAAGCTCATGACCTCACATTTGCCAGGCAGGTGCTTAGGCCACTGAGCTAAATCTTAAATGCATTTTTGACTCACTGATATTTTCAACTCATGATGGTTTTATCTGGATGTAATGTCACTGGAAAGCAAGGAGTATCTGGTCATATTTATGTTGGACTCTTAAATACTTTTCAAACTGGAGTTTTCAATTTGTGAGGCCTTCTAGAAATTTCTTTCTTTGTATTCATCTGCACTAGGGCTCACACACTTCCACTTTAACTTTATAGGACTTGAAGCAGCAAGAATTCTTCCTGGGATGTAGCAAGGTCAGTGGAAAAGTTGACTGGAAGATGCTGGATGAAGCTGTTTTCCAAGTGTTCAAGGTAAATATGTACTCATCTCTCGTGGGATATTTGAGTTCTCCATGTGGTGAGATCTTGGAGACCTTGATACTTTATTCAGAAAAGCAAAATAGGAAAAACATACACCCTTGTCTTTCCCTACTTACGTTTGTTTCCTCTGATATTTATTTATTCTTACGGTTTTTGTACATGCATTTGTATCTTTGCAATGTTTCTCACCTTCTTCTTGTTCACTCTATCTCTTCTATCAGGACTACATTTCCAAAATGGATCCAGCCTCCACCTTGGGTCTAAGCACTGAGTCCATCCATGGCTACAGCCTCAGCCATGTGAAACGCGTGTTGGATGCTGAGCCCCCAGAGATGCCTCCATGCCGTCGAGGTGTAAATAATATATCAGTCTCCCTCAAAGGTTAGTGTCTTAGTTACTTCCTGTGTTGCTGAGACAAAATGCCTGACTACCCCAATCTAAGGAAAGAGAGGTTTATTTTGACTCATGTTTTATGGAGTCTGCTGGCTCCCAGGAAAGGATGGCATGGCAGGATGGCGTAGCAGAGGAAAAACACCTTTGTGATTTGGCAACCAGGAAACAGAGAGTCAAGGGAGGACTCAGGAAAGAAGATATAAACTTCCCTGTCAGACCCAGGTCTGACCAGACTCTACCTCCTAATAGCAAGTCAGTTATAGCACCCCCTATAATCAAAGCACCTCCCTATGAACACTTGAGGCCTTAGGGTTATACTAGACATAAGCCATAACATTCCACCCTTAGCTGCCAAAAGATTTATGTGCATCTCTTTATGCAAAATGCATTTAGTCCATCTCTGCAAATTGTCAAAGTCCTCACAAATCCAACATTGCTGAAAAGTCTAAATCCAGAGTCTCTTCTGAGATACAAGGCAAACTCTTAGCTGTGAGCCCCTATAAAAATCAAAAGAAAGCCACATATCGTAGCACACACCTGTAATCCCAGTACTCAGAAGGCTGATGCAGGAAGATCGTTGCAAGTTCAAGACCAACCTAAACTGCATGGTGAGACCCTGTCTCAAAAAGACAAAAAAAAAGTTTTTTTAAAAAAAAGTTGAACACTGCCAACATACAGTGGCATGGGGTAAACATTCCTGTTGCAAAAGGGAGGAACAGAAGTATAGAAAGCAACCGGATAAAGTCAAGACAGAAACCCAATTTTAGTATAAGTGCTGCCAAAGCGAGCACTGAGACAGAAACCCAATAGAGCAAACATTAAATTCCATAATTCCATATTCAGCAGCCACGACAAGCTGTGGTGAGATGTGATCTCCAAAGGGCTTGGGCAACTACACCCGTATAGCATTGCCAGTGGTTGTAGCTCTCATGGCTTCTCTCTAAGACTGACTTTGGCTTTACTCATTCCTTGTAGCTTTCCTCAGATGTTTCACGTTCTTGGCTTCTCAAATTAAATCTTCATGCACTGTCCTCTTAAGGGCACATTGCCTGGCCTCCCAGGCTTTCTTCTGAAATCTGGGTGGAAACCTCCCTGATTATACTCTGCATGCCAGTAGAACCCACATAGATGACACCAAGATCTGCTACCAGCTCAAGTAGTAAGCCTGGCTTTCTTGTGTCACCAGTGTAGAAGTCTCTCAGAGCCTAGCTGGCTAAGAGTTATGAACTGAATCCTGGGGGAAAACATTCTCTAGGTAGTCCTTCTCAAGCAAGGTGCCCTGAAGTTGTTTTTTCAAAGCAAATTTTTTCATTGTTGCAATTTTGAGTCTGCAAAGGGTGAGGGTTGCAGATTCCGTACATGCTGATTCCAATGCCTCAATTGCGAAGTCTTTGACTTCTTTTACATGCTAATCTTTTTAACAACAAAGCTCTCTTCTGTTCCATTTTTGTAGCCCCCAACTGTACCAGAGTTTCCTTTTTGACCAAACTCCAAATTTTTTAAAAGGGCTTTTTGTTCACAGTGCATAAGCCTTGCTCAAAGCAGCAATCAGCATCCATGCCACAGCCTCAGCATTGGACTGCCCTGAAATTTCCTCCACCAGATTAGCCCATCACCCTAATCATAGTCTCTCAGAAAGTCTCAGGACATGAGCAAAATGTAGACAATTTTCCTGCCAAAGCATAACACATGGCCTGGAATCCATCTGCCAATGGAGTCCCTTCCAAATATATACCTTCTAAGCCTCGTCTTTACCAACTGCATTTCTGTCACCATTCTGGTCTTCTAAGCACTGACCAAAAGCACCTATCAAGCTTGGCTTGCAGCACACTAGGGCTTCTTCACAAGTCAGCATCTCCAACCTTTCTAGACTTTTTCTGTGAACCAGTTCTAAAGGCTTCTGAACCATATGGTAAAGTAGCATCACAACAATAACCCCAGACCTGTATCTGTCTTAGCTACTTCCTTTATTGCTGGGACAAAGTACCCAACACCTACATCCTTAGGAAGGAAAGGTTTATTTTGGCTCGTGTCTCCATTCATGGAATCCACTGACTCCTAGAAAGGATGGCATGACAGAGGGATGTGGCAATGGTAAAGCACTTTCATGGTTTGGCAGCCAGAAAGCAGAGAGAGTCAAGGGAGGACTCGGGAAGAGAGATGTAAACTTCCCGGTCAAGCCCACAGTGACATCTTCCAACCAGGTCCCAGCTCCTACTAGAAAGTCAGTTATAATACCCCCATAATCTAATCACCTCCCAAAGGTCCCACCTATGGTCAAGTGAGGCATTAAGGATACATCTAGATATAAATCATAAAGTCAGTCTTTGTCGCTTGGGGTAAGATGTTGTGGCATAAGCAAATAGAGAACACCATCAAAAAACTAAAGCAGCATACATTCATTCAATGAAAACTTATCAGGTAGCTGTGATATGAAGGTGTTTTAAGTAGCATGAGATAAATACATGAGCAAGACAAACCCAATCCTAACTCTTGTTCGCAGGGACATTCTTCTTAAGCGTAACGTTCTCTATCAGTTCACCTCTAGTTCTGAGTATGTCTCTAAAAATGAGACCCACATTTTCAAAACTAGAAGTAAGGAGATACCCTTGGAACTGTGGAGCAAGTGGATCTGGGTTTCTTCAGTGAGCTTCAGATAAACAAAAACACTTTGGGGCCCTTCGCCATCTTTTTTTTTTTTGTCTTTTTCATTTTTACCGGTACCGGGATCGAACTCACGACTGCCTGCTTGCAAGGCAGGCGCTTATGCCACTGAGCTAAATCCCCAGCCCCTTTCCTTTGCCATCTTGACAGCGGTGGCCAAGACTTACACTTTCTGGGGCTGGGTTCAGGTCTGAAGGAGAAATGTGTGGACAGCCTGGTGTTTGAGACGCTAATCCCCAAGCCAATGATGCAGCACTACATCAGTCTCCTGCTCAAGCATCGTCGTCTCGTGCTCTCGGGCCCCAGCGGTACAGGCAAGACCTACCTGACCAATCGACTGGCTGAATACTTGGTGGAGCGCTCGGGCCGTGAGGTCACCGAGGGCATTGTCAGCACCTTCAACATGCACCAGCAGTCTTGTAAGGTGGGTGCCTCCTGAGACGCCCCGCCTGCCAGTCTTTGTTCAGGCCTCAGTCTCACTGAGTCCAGCCCTGGACCCCGTACTGCCCTCTCATTCCCTTTTTCCTCCCCGCTGCCTTCACCTTTTCTCCCTTCTTCAGTTATCTTTTCCTACCTTTCCCCATCTCTATTTCTAGATTTGTCCTCCTCTGCCCCCAATTTCTTTCCGCACCTTGGCTCTTTATCCCTTTTCCCCCTCTAACTTCTTTCTCCTCACTTCCTCTTACCCGTTATGCTACTTTTCCTTTGATTGATCACTGAAGAAACTACATCCTCCTTGTCTCCACCTCACTCTGCTGACACTGTCCATCCCACCCCTTCCGTTTTCTTTTTTCCTTTCTTTTCAGTGTTACTCTTTGGCTTTGGGCTTTCTGGGAAGAAGCACTCAGAATTATATATTGCGTGGGCGCCCTACCCCTGATCCCCATGGCATCTATTGAGCATACTCTAATGCTTTGGAATTGGTTCAAGTCTTGGTTTTCCTCAGCTGGGGGAGGCTCATTCATTAATGGCAGCTTGTGCTACCAACCCAGTGAAGAACCGTTTATGAAGAACAGCATGTGCTCTCCACCTCTGGAGTACCCTGCTTCCCAAGGGTGCTTGAGTGCCTCTGGGACCAGTTTTATCAGTCTGGTAATCTGTTTCTGTGAGCAAATATGTGAGGAAGCAAAGGCCCCAAGGAAATTCCGAACTAACAAAATTCTCCAAAATTCCTCTTTCTAAAGCCAGTCTACATCTTGATTCCTGAATGCTAACACCCTGTCTTTTATTCCAGGATCTGCAACTGTACCTCTCCAACCTGGCCAACCAGATAGACCGGGAAACAGGGATTGGGGATGTGCCCTTGGTGATTTTATTGGATGATCTGAGTGAAGCAGGCTCCATCAGTGAGCTGGTCAATGGAGCCCTCACTTGCAAGTATCACAAATGGTAAGCTGGGCTTGGGCCCAAACATTGCAGTTTGGGTAGAAGGAAAACTCAGTCCATCCAACTGACAGAGAAAGCACATGGCAGAAAGCAAGAGTTAAGACAAACCTAAGTGAATTTTTCTTCCCTTCTTCCCACAGTCCCTATATTATAGGTACCACCAATCAACCTGTAAAAATGACACCCAACCATGGCTTGCACTTGAGTTTCAGGTAAGAACTATGACCCCCAATGAGCCTTCTGACCCCACCCAAGAATCTATTAACTAGTTAAGTCCTGGGCTTTGAGAGCAGAGGAACAACAGGTAGCAGAAAAAAGAGAAGTAGCCAGAGCCTTCAGGTTGAGCCTTCAGCCTTACATGTCAGTTACAGGATGGAAAAGGGTACTTGAGGGAAGGGAAAGGAAAAAGGGAAGGGGAAGGGGAAGGAAAGGAGAAAAGAAAGCCAAGGAAAGGAAGGGAGGGGAGGGGGTTGGAGAGGGAAGGAGAGAAGAAGGGAAGGGAACTGGGGGCCAGTAAGACTCTGGTAGGCTGCTGTAAATGGGATTCTCTGCCTGTCCGGAGCTACTGGCTTGACTTCAGTTGTCACCACTAGTAATTGAGAAGGAACAAGTGAGCACAAGTGGGAGGCAAGCAGAAAGAGTGGAGTGGCAGGGAATGACTCCTGACTGTGTCCCCATGGCCACTGTGACCCAACACTCCCATCCCTGGTGGCAGGATGCTGACCTTCTCCAACAATGTGGAGCCAGCCAATGGCTTCTTGGTGCGTTACCTGCGAAGGAAGTTGGTAGAGTCAGACAGTGACATCAATGCCAACAAGGAAGAGCTGCTTCGGGTGCTGGACTGGGTGCCCAAGCTGTGGTATCACCTGCACACCTTCCTTGAGAAGCACAGCACCTCAGACTTCCTCATCGGTACTGGGGTCCAGCTTCCGGGGCGGGGGTGGGCGGGAGGCAACTTCCTTTTTGTACCTTACCACCTGGAGGGGTGTTCCCTTTGCTTTCTGGAGTATTCAGCCTGTAAAGGAGTTGCAAGTCTTGTGGCTTCATACTTAAAACCACTGAAATACATACTTAAGCTAGAACCTTTCCAGTTCAGTTAGCATCGTGAATTGGCCGAATTGCCTCAACCATCCAAAAGCTACTCCAAGCACACACTTGTAGTCTAAGCCACCTGGAAGGCTGAGGAGGGAGGATTCCCTGAGACCAGCCTGGGCATATTTATACCCTATATGTAAAAAAATAAAAACTGTGGATACTTGCCTGGCATGTGAAGGCTACCCCTCCCTTTTTCCTACAATTAATGGAACAAAGGAGTGAAAGTCTATAGTAGGAAATCTAGAAGCTTCCCTTAGCCAGGCGTGATGACCCAAGCCTGTAATCCTCAGGAGGCTGAGACAGGAGGATCATTGCAAGTTCGAAAGCAGCCTGGGCTACAAAGTGAGCTCAAGGCCAATCTGAACTACATATCGAGACCCTGTCTCAAAAAGATAAGAAAAAAAGAAAGAAAAGAAAAAGAAGCTTCCCTTCCTTGTCTCACCTGCAGCTTGTCGTGCATAATTTCTGAGACTGTCAACCAGACCATCAGCATCCCCTGACCTCGAGGTCTCTAAATTTCCTCTAATGCTTTGGATGTCAGAGTCCTCTGCCTGGTACTCAGGAGTAAAACAGAGAGGCCTCAGCCTGGGGAGATCTGGGTTTCTCAGTCATCTTCAGAACCCCATCCTTTTCCTAGGCCCTTGCTTCTTTCTGTCGTGTCCAATTGGCATTGAGGACTTCCGGACCTGGTTCATCGACCTGTGGAACAACTCCATCATTCCCTACCTACAGGAAGGAGCCAAGGATGGGATCAAGGTGAGCCCTGCCCTCCGGCCACACTCAGACTCCAGGTCAGGCTGGCCTTCCTAACAAAGAGGCAGCACGTCTTTTGTGTCAGGCATGGCATTACTGAGGTTGGCTGGGTTCTCCTTCTGTGAGTTAGGGCCAGGACCTGGAAAGAAACGAGCTGCTTTCCTTCCAGCAAGGCATCCAGCAGCCACTGTCTCTGCCCCAGTCCTAGGCCTTCTGGCTCTGAGCCCAATACAGACCATTCTGTGGGGTAGAGCAATAGAAAATCAATTGAGCTACAAATTAAGCCAGACCTTTTTATACCTTAGTACTCGCCAACTACAAATAAATAGGTTACATTGATCAAAATCACTTAACCTTTTTCAGTGTCTTCATATGTTAAAAAAAAAGAGAGAGATGAATTCTGCTCTACCTAAATCACAGGATTATTTTGAAGACAAAATGAAATACGTGAAAAAAAATTGTTTGAAGTCAAATTACTTTGTGTAAGCCAGTGTTGGTGGTACATGCCTATAATCCCAGCTACTCTGGAGGCTGAAGCAGGAGGATCACAAATTCAAGCTCAACCTGGGCAACTTAGTGAGACCCTGTCTCAAAATAATTTTTAAAAAGGACTTAAGGAAAAAGAAAAAATGTAGTAATGGAATACTTGCATAGCACATAGTTCAGTCCCCAGTACCACTGAAAACAACAAAAACATCATGTAAGAAGATGCCATTATTTATTTTTATTATTAATTTTGTTTGTTTGGTTGGTTGGTTTTTCTCTTTTTAAGACAGTTTCACTATGCAATTCAAACTGGCTTTGAATTCACTTTGTAGGCCAGGTTGGCCTCAAACTCGCCGCAGTCCTTCTGCCTCAGCCTCCAGAGTGCTGGGATTACAGACATGTGGCACCCCAGCCGGCTATTGTATTTTAAACAGATACATAAAAGTATACATATTATCGGGGTACCACATGATGTCTCCATGAATGTGTATACCATGTAATGTTTATGTCAGTTAAACATACCTATCTCCTCAAATATTTATCATTTTTTATATGGTGAAAATATTTTTTTTTAAATATGGTGAAAATATTTTTTTTCTTTTTTCTTTTTATCGGTACCAGGGATCGAACTCATGACCGCCTGCTTATAAGGCAGGTGCTTATGCCGCTGAGCTAAATCCCCAGCCCCTAAATATGGTGAAAATATTACATATTCTTTTCTCTAGCTTTTTTTTTTAATTGGTACCAGGAATCGAACTCACGACCACGCACTTGCAACACAGGCACTTACACCACTGAGCTAAATCCCCAGTCGTCTGGTTTTGTGAAGTACACATTACATTACTGTTATTTGTTTTTGCCCTATTGTGCCAAAAGACACCAGAACTTCTTATTCATATCTAACTCTAATTCAGTTCCCATTCTCAACGTTTCCTCATTCCTGTCTCCCTGACTCTTTAGTAGACAGCCTCTGTAGGTAGAGAGCCTGACCCTTGTGTTTGAGAGAGTTTTACTGTGTATCCCATCTGGGCTTGAACTCACTGTGTAGCCTAGGGCAGCATCGAACCTGCATTCTTCCTGCCTCAGGCTTCCAAGTGCTGGAATTACAGGCATGCACCACCTCTCCTGGCCTCATTCTACTCTTAACTTCTTTGAGATCAACATTTCTGATTCCATGTATGAGTAAGGTCATGTGGTATTTGTCCTTCTGTGTCTGGTTGTTTAATGTAATATAATGATTGCTCCCATTCTGTTCATGTTGTTAAAAATAAGAGGATTTTATTCCTTTATGGCTGAGTAGTATGTTCTGTCTGAGTATGTACCATGTTTTTATTGATTCTTGTCTTGATGGAAGTTGATTCCCTATCTTGTCTGCTTTGAATAGTGCGCAATAAGCATGAGAGTAGATGGCTCTCAGCATATTGATTTTATTTCCATCAGCTATATACCCAGTAGAGGAATTTCTGGGTCACGTAATACCTATTTTTTATTTTTTGAGGACCATCTATACTGTTTTTCACCACTATATTAATTTACATTTACACCAACCACTTGCAAGTGTTTCCTTTTCTCTACATCCTCATTAGTTATTATCTTTAGTTTTGTTTTCTTTTTGAGACAGAATCTCACTATGTAGCCCAGTCTGGCCTTGAACTTGTGGTGATCTTCCTGCCTCAGCCTCCTGAGCACTAGGATTACAGGCATGTGCCACCACACTGGCTCTTCAGTCTTTTGGATAGTAGCCATTCTTATGGGGCAAGGTGATATCTTGCTTTGGTCACTAAATATTAGTGATACTGTTTTTTCATATACATATTTACCATTTTTAGTCTTCTTTTGAGAAATGTCTAGTGAAGTCATTGTCTATTTAGATATTTTTACAAGCCTCGCAGTTTTCTTACATGTAAATTAAGGTGCAATGATTGCTAACATCCATTCTAGCACAAATAAAGTAAGATGCAATAACTGACTCTTATTGGTTATATATTATCCAAAAATTGTTATAGGTGTTTCCTGATGATGTGGTAAGTTTCTAGGGATGTTATCAGGGTGATGCCTCGAATCAATATTTCATTTATAAATTTGTGATATTTTAAGGAAATACTTTATTATTAATTGGTTTCCAGATTTAAAGCATTTTCACATGTGTTTTCAAGAAAGTAAACAATTTGAAGTAGTACAATTAAGTGGAAGAATTTCTGACTTGAAAATTGAAAGGTCATAAAATTGCAACTGGGTTTGGTAGCACACAGTTGCACTCCAAGCTACTTGGGAGGCCTCAGTGGAGGGATTGTGAGTTCAAGGCCAGGGCTGGACAATTTAACAAGACGCTGTCTCAAAAACAACAAAAAATTGTGAAGTTTTAATTCAGCCTATGTGTTCAACAAATGAATATATAATGTATGTACCAAACATAGAACATTCAGCCTTTAAATGCAAAAAGAAAGGCAATCTTGGAGGCTGGGAATTTAGCTCAGCGGTGTAAGTACCTGCCTGGCAAGTGCCAGGTCGTGAGTTCGATCCCTGGTACCAAATTAAAAAAACCAAAAAACTGAAAAAGAAAGGCAGTCTTATCTTTTGCAACGTGAATGAACATATAGAAGCTGAGCCAGGGTATGGGAAGTGTTGGTGAGGTATTGGTCAAAGGACACTCCATTAGTCAGCTTTCTATTCCTGGGACGAAATGCCTTACAAACACAATTTAAAGGTGAAAAGGTTTATTTTGGATCCTGGCTTCAGAGGTTTCAGTCTACTGTTAGTTGTCTCCAAGACAGAAACATCCCAGCCAGAGGAAATGGTAGAATAAAGCTGCTTAACTCATAGAATCCGGGAAACAGACCAGGCAAAGAGCCAAAGAGGAAGGGACAGGGACCTCAGATATAGTCCCCAAATATACATTTCCACAGCCCATCCAGACACATTCACAAGTATGCTTTACTAATTAACCTCCTAGACATCTCTCGAGCCCAGGATGTTGACAGTGAAGACTGGCCACCTCAAGCTGGGTGTAGTTGTGCACACCTGTAATCCCACCACTCAGTAGGCTGAAGCAGGAGTATTAACCAGGCTATATAACAAGTTTAAAGCCAGCCTTGGTTACACAGTGAGACCCTGTTCCAAGAAACAAAAAAGAAAAACAAAAGGGGCAAAAAAGTTATTAGCCATCATTGCAAACACAAAATTTCAGTTATCAAGAATAAGTTCAAGAAATCTATTGTACAACCTGATATGTATGGTTCATAGCAATGTATTATATACTTTCTTGGGTGTTCTTATCCCCCAAAATGAAAACTAAGTATGTGCCCTCACATGCATGTACTCATTAGTTTGATTTAATATAGATATATATTTCAAAATGTCAGGTTGTATATCATAAACATACATAATTTTTGTTTGTAAACCTAAAAACAAATAATGAGGTGAAAATTTAGGCAGACCGTGTCACTTTTCCATCATCCCAGCACCCGGCTGGCTGAGGAAGGAGGAACGAGTGTGCAGGCCAGCGTGGCTGCAGAGCAATAGCTCATGTCAAAACACAAAGCGAAGCAACAGAGGGAAGGAAAGAAGGCAGGGAGCGAGCAGAGGAAGAGGGAGAGCAGGAGGCTCAGGGAGGCAGGAAGGAAGAAAGGAGAAAATTCTTCAGTTTTGATACAGTCTGTTACATTATCCTCCAAAACGACTTTACCAGCTCATTCAACTTCTTTTCTTTGTCAAGAAGCCCAGGAATATTCGACAGGATCAGAGTCTCAAGTCTTTACACCTGAGGAACGTGTGTTTCCGGAGAGCATGTTCAGTGTGGGAACTCGGGACTGGGTGAAGCCCTCTAACCCACTTTCCTTCTCTCCAGGTCCATGGGCAGAAAGCTGCTTGGGAGGACCCAGTGGAGTGGGTCCGGGACACTCTTCCCTGGCCGTCAGCTCAACAAGACCAATCAAAGCTGTACCACCTGCCCCCACCCACTGTGGGTCCTCACAGCATTGCCTCACCTCCAGAGGACAGGACAGTCAAAGACAGCACCCCGAGTTCTCTGGACTCAGACCCTCTGGTGAGTGGAACCATCCGAATGTGAAAAGAACATTACAGAACCGAATCCTTCACAGAATTTCATCAAGGCCAGTACCAGAAGGCCAGAGAAGAGCTTTGAATATGAGAATCTTTGACTATAAAGGCTGTACACCTGAGATTTTAGCTAAGTGATGACATATCCCAGCAAGATACGAACTAACAAAGACCCAAATTCCAGGCAGATGTGGGAACACCTAGCAAAGAAGTAAACAAAAAAAAAAACCCAACACATTAACACTCTCTCTATTTCTGTCTCTCCTCTGATATTAACCTGAGGATTCCCCCAGCTACATGGCTTTATTAAAAGGAGGTAACAATGAATGACAGACTGGTAGGGGCCAAGGGCAGAGCCAAAAGAAGACTGATTAGTAGAATGCAGAAAACTTCAAATAAAACTTTCAAACAGAACAAAAGATTTACACAGGTATTTGACTAGAGAAAATTGCAATGAAATACAATAAAAACCTTAGAGCCACTTCAACCTCTCTGGGAATAAAGAAAAGAAAATTAAAACCAGAATGTTTCATACTGGCAAAAATAGGGTATGTTAGCACAAATTTTCATGCCCTGCTTCTGGAAATGTTCGTTGGTAAAACGATTCTGGAGGATATATTTTTTTCTTCTTGAAATAGATTTTAGACATTCTTTTTTTAATTTTACAGAAAAAATGTAAAACAAAATTTCAAAACAAAATAAGGAGAATAACAATTGTTAGCACATTGCATAATGTTATCTTCAAAATAGTTACTCAGAGTACAAGATATGGGCATAAAAAATTATCCAAACAATATTAGCACAAACTTTTCCTTTCTTTTTTGTCTTATTAGACTTTATTGGTACATTTTAAATATATATAACAATCACATTCATCATAGAGAATTTGCACCTGTACATGATACAATTTGGCTTGTTTCTCCATTCTCCTGCCGTTGCTTCAACACCTCCCCGCTTCCCCACTTACAGAGCTTTGTTTCCATGTTTTCCTTTTCCCTTCTTTCCTGTTCCCTTCACCTCTCTCTTGTACTCCTCCCCATTTGAATAATATCCTATTCATAATTTTGGTCCTTATTTACACTTTCAGTTTCTCATATCAGAGAAATAATACAATATTCACACATATGTATCCAGTTTATTTCACTTAAGAGAATGGACTCAAGGTACATAAAGGATAATTTAAGAGATTTTATTAAAACTTAACATACAAAAAATCTTGTTGCATAGCCATTTTATTCAGCTGCCAGGTATGGTGATGCATGCTTATAATCCCAGCACTATAGGAGGCCGAGGCAGGAGGATTGCAAGTTCTAGTCTAGCCTGGGCAATTTAATGACTTAGCAAGACTGTATCTAAAAAAAAACAAAACAAAACTGGAGATGTAGCTTACTGTAAAAACTGTGAGGTCAGTGTCCAGGACCAACATAGACACACACACAGGGTCTTCCACCTGAGTTACATTTTTACTTAAATGTAAAAATGACTTTGTTGAAAACAGATGTAATTTATGTTAAAAAAAAAAAAACACTTTTAAATTGAAAGATATAATATTCAGGTAGGTAGAAGAAGGTGGAAGGCAGATCTTCTAGAATCAATTAGGCTTACTTAGCTAAATAAAAGGGGTTCCAAACTTGAAGTATCAAGAAGAATCAAAAAAAAAATAGTTAAAGAGGAGGAGCTGCCAGCAAAAGTGGCTTATGGCTCGTGACTATCATGTCCAGACTGAGTGGCCCACTCCTATAATCCCAGCTACTTGGGAGACAGAGGTAAAAGCATCACAAGTTCAAGGTTAACCTGGCAACCTCCAGACTGCTAGAGCCCATCTCAAAATAAAAAATTGGAAGAGTCTGAGGAGGTAGGCCAGTCATCAAGCACTAGCCTGACATTTGGGAGCCCTGGTTCAATCTCCAGGATGAGGGAAGGATAGTGAGGGGTGGGAGGTGAATCCACTGAAGTGTGCAGGCTTGACAGAAGCTTGCTTTGTGGGCTGGGAAGAAACGATTTTGTGGTAACAAGAAGCCTTGCTGTTGGCTTATAACCTATTGTGGGTGGGCTTGTTAGAGTCAGAGATGCTCCTACACTTCCCCAGTATGAGAGGTATACACACCTGCTGTCCTCTGCCCAAGTATAGGCACCATGCGGCAGAGGCAGTACTTTTGGTGTCTTCCTCCCACACACGTCACTTTGTACAGTGGACATACCCTCAGGGGACTTTATATGCACATGAAGCAGTCATCGCTGATTTTTTTCCTGAACTACCTCTGCATCCCAAGCTCCCAATCCCTTTCTTTTTTTTTTCTTTTTAATGATACCAGAGCTCAAACTCAGGACCTTAACGCTTCCCAGGCAGGCCCTAAACCCCTGAGCTAAAACCCCCTCCCTCCTAACCCATTTCAAACCAAGCATCAGACCCATGATCTCAGTTTTTTGTTTCCCTCTCTGGATAGGACTCCATGTTCCAACTCTCATCAGTGTACCTCCTTCTCCTGTCTAGATGGCCATGCTGCTGAAACTTCAGGAGGCTGCCAACTACATTGAGTCTCCGGATCGAGAGACCATCCTGGACCCCAACCTGCAGGCAACACTCTGAGGGTCTAAGAGTCACTGTCACCCCGGACAGCGGAAGGCTGGCTTATGCTTCATTAGCTCCTCCTCCCCCCTCTTCTCTCAAAGCACTGGCTCTCTGGCTCTGGGAGGAGAATAGGAGGGAGGAGGAAAGCAAGAAGAGGGGCAGGTTCTTGGTGCTGCACTTTTGAGAACTTCCTAGTAGGGATTCTGTGGGTGGCGTTTGGGAACCGTGTTACCGAAACACATTTACTGGCCTCCTCTTGTGACTTTGGGAAAAGATAATTCTGGGTCTTTTCCTTGTTTCCTTGTTTCAATTACAAACTCCTGGGCTCTCTGAGGAAGGGTTCAGAAGACATCAAAAGACTCTGCAGCAGTTCCTAGCTGATTCTCATGAGCAACTCTGAGACAGTCATAGGAGGGGATGTCCGAGGAGGCAGGAAGCTTCGCTTGCTGGCTTTCTCGCTGACCCTTCCCAATTTTGTCACCACTGCCAACAACTCTTCCCCCAGAGATCTGGCTGGAGCCCAGGAAAGAAGCATGTGGTTTTAAAATTGCATAAATCAACCTGTAAATGGTAACAGGCAATGGAAAAGATGAAGCTGGAGAAAGGGGACCCAGTTGCCAAGGTAGAAAGAGAGCTGCCAGCTCTTGCCTTCTGGATGACATAGGAGATGTTAACAAGATGGCATCTGCCCTAAGAAGTCACCACATCCCAAAAATAACATTGCAGCCTTCAGAGAGAGACCACTAGCTCTGTCTTTCTACCTTCTAATTTAACATGAGTGAGAGTCAATAAACCCTACTTTTTTATTTTTTATTTTTAATTTGTTTCTATTTTTTTCTACCATTTGCCTATTTATTTTCTCTCTCTTTCCCCTATTTCCTCACATGTCCATGAGGTACGTGAGTTGCTTTTCCAAGGGCTACTTTGGCTTTTCCAAGTATGCCATCTAATTGGTACCAGCTAGATACCTGCTATGCCATTGCCTTTGGCATCCTCGGGCTTATGTGAGACACGAAGTACCAGTTCACCAGTAATGGGAGAAGAGGCACTGTTTCCTTGACTCTCCTTTTGGGAAAACACATGTTCTGCCTAGGAGCTCAATTACTGCCCTCTGGCGTAGTAGAAGATTTGCTCTGAGCTTCATCGTGGACTGGAGGAAAACCCAGAGACTGGACATACTTCTCTGGTGGCCCATTTGCCAACTCACTGCACTGTTTTCATGGTAGTCACTTTGCCTGACTAAATCAAAATTCCCTATCCAACCCTTAACTACATACTTGTTTTTGAAAGGCTAATATTCACTTATAAGAAACTAAACACCCACATGCGATACTCCAAATGTGATATATGGTTCAAGGAGTTTTATTTGGTGGTGAATATCTGCCTTCCACAGAGATCCTACTTCTTGCAAAAGTTGCTCTTTTCCTGGTGACCCTGAAGGTCTGGCAGTCCCATGTTCTTCTTTTGACAAGTGCTTGCTGAATACTTGTGTACCAGTCACTAAATGAAAGACAGACATGACTTGGACCCTGAGGTTCATGGTCTGGCAGGAAATGTACCATCCGTTAGGTGCACATCCCCTTGTTATCTGGACCTTCAGGATCATGTAAGAAATGTAGCTGAAACTCAAAGAGTCAGCTAAAAAGTTGCCTTTGATTAGATGTCCAGTACACTGGGGGCAGAAGATCTAGGATCAATTAAAATCTGACAGACTATGGAATCTTGCTTGTCGGGAGTGGGCAAGTCAATTCCTGCCATTTCTGAAAGCTCTATGGGACCAGATTCCAGGCACAGCTGCCAGATAGGCTGCCTGAAGGCCCTTGCGGATCAGGGATATGAGATGAGCCTGGGATTCAGTGTTTGCTCTTCAGATTCCTAAGTAGTACAAGACTTTATCAGAATTCATAGGTTACTAACATGGATCATGCTGTTCCACCAACCTAGGAGTAGATGCATCCAAGCCTTTATATCAGAATATTTTCATTTAGGTCAACAAAATGGTCTGCACCCCAGAAAAGCTCTGTAATTTCACCCAGTAGCACCCAGGGATGACAGGGTCCTTTGTGCTGGAGACTATAATCGCTCTTGCTGCTAATTCTATGAGCTGTGAAGATCCTCAGTCAACTCAGCTGTAAAAATATGCAATCTGTGATAAGAAGAGGCTGTTTGTCCATGGATGGTGCTGAAATCACTGCCTTAAGGTCTCTGCTATGCAGATTGAGGCCACAGAGCTGGGTGTTCCAACTTAGAAGACAGGGAAGACCAAACAGGCCTACTTTGGGCATAGGCCTCTTCTAAATCCCATCCTAAGCTCCAGACCCATGGCCAGGCTCAGACTTTTAATGCCACCTTAACCTAATGCTTGAGCCCCTAACTCTTGTTTTCTGGTGCTGCCCAGCCAGTGCCTTCTGACATGGATGTTACTGGCTACTTGAGAAAAAGGAGGAAGGAGAACCCCTTCTTCCATTCCAACTGCCTCAGATCATAGAAGGATTCTTGAGTCTCTGATGACTGTGGATACCACCGTGAATCTTTTTGGATCCTCAGCATGTTGTTTCTGGAGGCCTCTCATGCTATGACTTTTCCTTTCTATTCCTGGGATTCACCACTGTCTACTCTTAGTTTACTGCTGCACTTAGCCCAGGTCTCTTAATTGCTTTCCTCCAGGAAGTGTGTTTCCATCTGGTAAAATGCTAGTGAAGCCGGAGCTTTCCCTCTGGAGCCTGAGACCCTGTTTACAGTTGCACATCTGGGCCTCTCACGATGGGGACGACGGTCTCACAAAGGAATCATGGTTACATGGCAACTGCAGAAGGTTGAGCCTCCTCATGGTGCTATAACCCGTTGGGGTGCTCATCTAGACTTCTCTGGAGCATAAACACCAAGCTGCCCCCTCACTCTCTAGAATTAATGGCAAGCAACAAATCCATAATGTTCTCTCCTACCTACGCACCTAGTTCGTGGTTGAGACTTCTGGGAACCTAAAGAAGAGAAAACTGGGTCCTCTGGCTAAATTCTCAACCCCTATGCACCTTCAGAAGAATCCAGCCTATCTAGTTCTGGAATCTGTGCTATTGCATTCCTCTTCAGCCCCCTGATTTCATCCCTCACCAAAGCTGGCTAGTACAAAACACGGTTCAAGGCTCAGCATCAACCTGAAGAGAGAGCCACAGGAGAGTTTCCTCAGCAGAGACCCTCTTGTTTATGACCAACAAGATGTGTCCAATGTATTTGTTTCTCAGTCCCTGCCTAGGCACTAAACATAATATACTAGGTAACTGGAGGCTAATACGGGACCTGATGTCTGTGTATGTGTTTGTGTGTGTGTGATGCAAGAGCACTTTTCTGTTGCTGTTTCCTATCTTCTGAGGCTTCATAGAGTATTTTTTTAAAATCCATGCTTTGTGGCAACTCTACGGTGCTTACTTTTGTCTTCGTGTAAATTCTGATACCGGTGTCCTTCATCGAGTCCTTCACCATTGGGAAGGTAGAGGCCAGCAGGGAAACATTAGCTAAAAGTCCAGGAGATGCCCTATAGGGATGTCCTTATTGGTCGGAATACTATATATTGGTCCTGAATGATCAACCTTCTATCCATACTCCTTAAAGACTTAAGATAAAATGACTTTTTTTCCATTCCTTTCTGCTTTGCCAGTGTCACAGTGGGCCAGTGTCACTAGGGAGCTACTTGTAGCTCCCTGAGGCAACAGTCCACAATATTCAGAGGCACATCCCCTCCCACTGGTCTGAGAAGTAACTCTGTCTCCTGTCCTATTCCAAAAGACTGAGAAGGGGGCAGCAGTAGCCTGCCTTTTCTCACCAACACTTCACGTTACCTGGTATGGCACCCAGGTACAGCAACCCGGCACACTGGTGAAATTTGCATGACTGAATGGACTCAGTCCTGCAAACTAGTATCAAAGAAATACTTATATGAGGCCTTAAGGATTCTTTATTGCAAGATGTATGAGAGGACAAGTCCTAATTACACATTTAACACAGGGTTCAAATACTGAAGCACCCCAGATCATCAAACAGCTCATCATTTACGTTTTCTTTCCTTAATCCTTGGCATGAGCTAACCTGAACCCAACACCCTCCAAAAAATGTGTTTCTGCAGATGGTTTACTAATGGAAATGGATATACAAGTGATGACTGTGAGAACTACTCATAAGTTCTGGTTTGTACCACTACTGAAAAGGCCCTACATAATAAAATTGTCTTAAGGGTACTGTGTTCCCAAAAGGCTACAGCCTGAACCTACTGCCCTTTATAATTGAATCCATCTTACATATTTAAGAGGCCTCAATCAGCCTGCTCAGGGATATATGGAGCCACCAAATTACTCTGCCCACTGCAAAGGATGTATGCGTGGGTTTGCATCACCTGGATCCTGAGGCAAGTACTGTGTCTGCATACCCTAAGGAAACAACTAAAGTAGAAAATGCTAGAGCCGTGAAGTAAGGAAACCAATTGGAATTTGGAATCTACGGTTAAAACTGGCCAAGCTAAAGATTAAGCTTATTCATACTGGCTTTATCCATCTTGATGTTTTAGCTATTTTTCTTAGCTTTTATGCTATGGGGGATTTCCTGTGATAAGGGTGATCATGAAAGTACACGCTCGTTTCTTGATTCGACCATTCCCTCCTTAAAAGCAGTGATGCTCAAGGGATGGTTCCAGACCAGTAGTGCCCACAAACTTGTTAGAAATTAAATTCTGAGGCCCTACCCAGATCTACTGAGCCAGAAACTCTAGGGGTAAATCAATGTTTTTAACACCACCACCTCCCTCACACAGTAAATCTGATACATGCTGACGTTTGAGATTCAACCATTTTAAAGACAAAGCTACTCTTGAGGGGCGAAGCCCTTACCCAGAGGGCCTTTGGAAAAAAATAAGGTCTCAGGTTATGAGTCATATGCTAGCATTAATTTCAAAGTCACTTTTCTCCTACTTATGTCTGTTTTTGCTTCTTTTAAATTTCAAAAGAAACAATATGTGCACTTTGGGGCAGAAGTTAGGGGAATGTATATATCTTTCCTACTTGAGTGAAACCTTCAGAGAAAAATCTCTTATCCCTCAAACTTATGTCAGGCAAACCAAGGAGCTTCACCAGAAGAAAGCAGTCTCTGAGTTGCTCTTCTGCGGGATTATTTGTGTCTACTCTAAGTCTTTTCCTGATTATGTAACATGATGGAAAGTGAAAAGAAAAAATCTAAATTGTATTTTCATGATAAAATGTTCTTCCAGCAACATACCTCTCCCTTACCTGAGGTGTAAGGTGCACTGCTAGACCTTAAAACCCAGCCAGAACCTCTCCAGGGCAGCTAACAACTTTAGGGCTGTAGTACCCCAGGAAGCCCCATGTCCACGCTCTCTGTTCGGTGCATGAGAGTTCCATACAGTGAGGACACAATAGTGGGCACCGATGTCCTTGGGCGCCCCTTTTTCTTTCTTCACACTAGGACCTGGATACAGACCTACTCGACAAAAGTGACAATAAAATCCTTTTAAAAAGAAATCTAAAAGGAGCTTCATATCCTTCCAAATTCTCAGACCAGCTGATGGGGCCAGAAGGAGGATGGGGCTATTTAAAACTGGCTTTGGTTGGTCTTCCCTGTGAGGGAGCTTTTGGGCAGAGCACAAAGAAACACACTGGTACTAATTCTCCTGGGCTGTGGCATTTGGAGGACTAACACCTGAGGAAGACGAGAGTAAAATTAACTGCACTAAAATTACCCGCTTGGTCTCTGAAACACCCATGATGGGTCCCTTGGCTATCTCCTGTGGGGTCATCCTGCTTCCTTGCCATTTTTCTGAGAAGGAAGGTAATAAAATAGGAACAAGTCCACAAATCACAGCCAGCCTCTGGGCTACTGCTGTGCAATGCCGGCGCTCCATTTCCTAGTGTTCTTTTGTGTTTCATTTTGTTCTGAACAAAGTAATCGTTTTTAATGACTTCTAGCCCCTGCTAGCTTCCTTTCCTTCCTCCTCCCCATCCTGCTTTAGACAGCATTGCATATGTGATGGAGTCTGTTTCTCAAATGCATGGCATTCCTCAGGTGGCAGGAAGGCAGGAATTTTCACATCACTTTAATTTATTGGGTGCAAACCCCAAATCAGGATACGTGTGTGTCTGTGTGTTTTACGTCGTTTTTTTCTAATTTGACCCTCACCTCTTCTAACCTACCCCCTTTTATATCAAACATAGAAAAAGCAAAGCTGAAACTGGAAAGCAAACTGTTGTATATAGTTGCGGTAACAATCATGAAGAGAGCTGGGTTGTCCCCTCAGAAATTTCTTTTAAACAACAAATCGGTTGAAAATTAAATTCATGCCTGGGCCAGCTGAAGAGGCCTTCCGTCGTCATCACAGAGGCCCCTCATCTGGGCCCTCTGTCCATCAGGCATGTCTCTTCCCAGCAAGATTCATCTGTTCGAGGCCATTTGCGTTTCAATAAAGTTATCTCCTGTATGTCACTGGTTCTCTCTAGTTCCCTCTCTGTTTGGTTTTGTTGCCTTGTATCTTATGTCCATTGCTGGAACTGGAAGATAAGACTGCTTGTGGTCATTTGGCTGACACAGAATCAAAACTCACTGACCTAAAAATGTCTGGCCCCCAAATCCTAAGCAAGAGTCTCTTCTTTGGTGAGGAGTAAGGGGGGCCTCATTTTGTACATGATGGACATAGTGTCCACCACAATTCAAAACATTTGGCCAGAAAGTCAGGGCTCCTGAATCCTCCATCCACTGTCACAAAATCTGAAAACATGCCACCCTCTGCAAACAACCCTAAGGTTTCTTTTTGAGGTAAAATTGAATTAACCTATAAGAAATGAAGCTGTTCTAATGGTATTTGGCTTCTCTTGGCCACTGAAAGAGGGGAAATATGTCTCACTGTTCTCCTTTGTGGAACTACAGGCCCAAGAAGCTCTTTTCTCTGTTAGAGTGTGGTAAGAGAGGGCTGGGGGTTTGGCTCAGCAGGCATAAGTGCCTTCTTGGCAAACTCAAGGTTGTGAATTCAATCCCCAGTACCAAAAAAAGTGAGATTAACATGGATGGTGACAAATGCATTGACAGCACTCCTCAGAATAAAAGTATTCTGGAAAAATCCTAAAATGAGATGGCTTAATATTTAATTATCAACCAGTTTAGCATCCATAGATTGGAACTGTTTTAGGAATTGCTAACTGGTTTTGTCACTTGGGAATGAAAGTACATAAATGTTTCTAGAAAACACTTCTTAAGCACTAAACCCAAACAGCTAAGAGATACCTCTTCCTTTTTGCTCATATATGTCATTCTGTCCTTTCTGCTACTACATGCTCACAACTGTATCCTGCTTTTAATTAACCTCTAGCTTTAATTCCATCTATCTGCTCCAGTAGAACAGTGTCTCTAGCTGGGGATTTAGTTCAGCCACATAAGCGCCTGCCTGGCACGTGTGAGGTCAAGTGTGAGGTCATTAGATCCCCAGTGCAAAAAAAAAAAAAAAAAGAACAGTGACTCTATATCTTGCCCCATGTCTTGTTACCAGTCCTGGACTTTTGTCTCCCACCCCTTGTATATCTAGTTATAATTTATACAGGGTAAAACTTTATACTTCTCAGCTAATAGGATTCATATTAAAATAGGCACATAAAGTGTCATTCTGGAAGAAACATCCTTTCACATGCAGGTGAGGTCCCCTGCCCAGCCACTTTGCCATTTTGAGATTGGACTCATCTGGGGTAGAGATCCAAGAGACTGCACCTTCCCTTAAGGTGATACTCCCCTCTCCCGTTTGTTTCTGTTTTTTTGTTTTGTTTTGTTTTGTTTTTGTTTTCCTCTCCATCTTTAGATTCCGGAGACTAAGAAACGAAGAGGACCAACTGACCCAATTTTTTCTCCCCACTGGGAGAAAGAAAAAAAAAAGGATTGGTTTTAAATAGATGCTATAAGGCCAAGGATAGAGCTCAGTGGCTCAGTGCCTGCCTGACAAGCACGAGGTCGTGAATTCGATTCCCAGTACCAAAAAACAAAACAAATAAAAAAATAGATTATTTCCGACCCAGACACTTCTCAAAGCCTTCCACATCCACTTCAACCCCTCCTCGTCTCTTCTAACACAGTATATCTGAAAGACTCCTGAGTCTAGTCATATATCATGGCACTTACTCCAACTGAGAGTGATGACGTACTGCACTAGTTTACTAACGTAGCATAGATTTCTGAGTCTCTTTTTCGCGTAAATCTCAAGTGCTCTTGGCCGACAAATGTGTAGCTGTCGTTCAGACAGCAGGAGGCGCTGTCTCTGGCGGTTTACGTCCTTTTCCCCGCCCCCTCACCCCTCCCTGTCGTGCGCAGGCGCGGCTTCGCGGATTGGCCGTGCGCGGGAACCGTCATTCGGTGGCGGGTCCAGGCAGCGGGGCTGGCGGGTTGAGGGGAGAAAAGATGGCGGCGGCGGCGGCAGCTGGTGCGGCCTCTGGGCTGCCCGGTCCAGTAGCACAGGGATTGAAGGAGGCTTTGGTGGATACGCTCACTGGGATCCTGTCCCCAGTGCAGGAGGTGCGGGCGGCTGCCGAGGAACAGATTAAGGTGCTGGAGGTGACGGAGGGTGAGTGAGGAGGGACCGACACGAGGATGGCTTGGATCTGGGCCGGGCGCATCATCTGCTGATTGCAACTTGGGACCGGCAAGGGACGTGGGGAGCCTGAGCCCGTGGAGATCTGGGCTCCAAGGAACGGAGTAGGGAGAGGTCGATGTCGCTGATGGCTGTGGAAGTCGGGGAGAGGGGAGGCGCGTCTGTAGGGAGAGGGTCTGGGAGGTGGGGCCTCGGGGGCAGGGAGGGTGGAGACTTGAAAGGATAGAGCCTGGGATCTGCAGAGGACCGAGGTGGAGCTCGACTCAGTGCTGCGGGTGTCGCGCGGTCTGGGAAGTGCTGCTCGAGTTTACAGCAGGGTCCTGTGCTGTTCTCTTCAACTCGGTTGTGTTGGGGTTAGAGTACCGGGAGCTATTAGAAGTGATGAGAGCGGGGCCCTTGAGAAGACAGTTCACCGAGGGTTAGTGGGTGACATCAAACAAGTTTCTGTCTCTGAATTTTAAACTGGCTGATTTAAACACTTCGTGTTTTCCCAGAGATGAAATGAAATGCATATATAGCTGCTTCAGATTCCTGACCATACTCCCTGTTTATTTTCAGAGTAAAATTATTAAATATCCTTGTGTGCATTTCTGTGAGAAGCAACCAATCTTCTTTGTTTTTGATTCTTTGTCTTCATCTTATTATGTGCTTTAAAGTGATAGCGAAGAAAATAAACTACGGGTTTGAGATTCTCTGTTAATTTCCTGCTAAATCCGCTTTCATCAAGTTCACTAGTAAGTAGCCACTTTACAAAGAAGAGTCTATATAGGAGAAGAGAAAATTTTATTGGTCTCTGTGTAAGAGACCATTCGGTCAGAGCTTCAGTAAACTCCAAGTCCTCAGAATCCCCAACTCAAACGAATGTTTCCATTGCTTCTGAAATTTAGGCCTCTTCAGAAATATGAGAAATTATCTGACTAATTTCACTCAAAACTTTGAGTTAACTTTCTACTAGACTCATTTTCACTGAAGGAAATGAAGACAAAATCTCTCTTAGTTTTATATTCATGAAAAAAGGCTATTGAAAACAACAATTTCCTTCTGCTTGAAATATGTTGAGATGCGAAATCTAACAAGGACCATTTTGAAAGCCCAGCTGTAGTTGTAGTTGTCATTGTTCTATAAAATTTCAGACCCTACAAGAGGAGGAACCAGTGTGTAGGAGAAAGCGTTTTGAAAGCCATGCATAAATTGTTCTGAAGGGGGTTATAGCCTCCTGTGTAAAATTCTTTTATTTACATTAATGTCTCTTCCTCTTGAGTCTGAAGAAGGGTAATGGAACAAAGAAACCTCATTAGATTTAATTTGTTATGTGAATATAGTTGATGGTCTGATGCAAATTGGTTGTAACTAAACTTTCCCTGAATGATACCCAGTGTTTTTGGTGCCCCAGATGCATGTCAGACACTTACGAAAGGCGAACCTTGGTTTGTGTTTAAAACATTCAATGATAGCTCTACTTTGGCTTTCATCTCTTCTTCAGCTCCAGTCAGATACCATGATCTTGTTTAAGTAAAGCCAATTGTAAACTTCTTAAAGTCTTTTTGAAGTGTGGTCTCTCGTTTCTTTTATCTTTTTGAGTCTTGAACTCTGAAATTAAATTTCAAAAAGTGCAGAAATTTGATCAAAGTCATTGGTGGAAAATAGATGGACTCCTCAACTCTTCTGCCCCTCCCATAACTTCTGGTAGTACAATGTGTGGTGTGGAAAGGCTTTGAACAGTAACCTTATTGGTGGTCTGGTACTAAGGCATGTGACTCAGGTTTAAGGTGTGGTTACAGGATTGGATCAAATCTCTGGAGTTGAGGGTAGTACATTGGGCTTTTTAGAGGCTATGTCTTTAAAACTGGCCGATTTCTTTATTTGTCAAGAATTACATTTACCCACTTTGTACTTGTTTTTAGTGGTGGTTGGTGATTCATTTGTTCACAGGTTTTTTTTGTTGTTGTTGATACCAGGGATCGAACTCACAATCTTGTGCTTGCCAGGCAAGCACTTACAGCAGTGAACTAAATTCCTGGCCCCTAGTTACAGTGTCCTCTCTTGTGGCTTTTTAACAAGTTATCTTTGCTGTTGGGTCCAGAGTAACTCCCATCTTATACAGTATTCTGCCTGACTCAGATGCTTGCTGCATGATCTAGTAGGTTATGCTCCACCAGCCATAGTTCTTTTTTTTTTTTTTTTATCATCGGTACCAGGGATCAAACTCACGACTGCCTGCTTGCAAGTGGCGCTTATGCCACTGAGCTAAATCCCCCCATAGTTCTTTTTTACATGAAAAGATCACCACCACCACCACTAGAATTTAGCAAACTCTTTGGCCTGATAAAACTGGCAGGATATTGTTCCTGCTGTTCGAAGGCCTTGTAGGCCAAAGCAGTGAGCCGTTCATGTAAATGAAAAAGTTATTTTCCATTCTTTTTTTTTTTTTTTTTTTCTTTTTCCTTTTTATCGGTACCGGGGATCGAACTCACGACTGCCTGCTTGCAAGGCAGGTGCTTATGCCGCTGAGCTAATCCCCAGCCCCATATTTTCCATTCTTGTAATGCTTTTACATTTTAGTTTTGTTTCCCTAGAACGAATCTTGCTTTCTAGTCTTGAAACTTTCTTTTCTTCCTTTTGTGTGTGTGTGTGTGTGTGTGTGTGTGTGTGTGTGTGTGTGTGTGTGTGTATGTGTGCCAGGAATCAAACTCACAATCCTGTGTGCTTGGCAGGCAGGTGCTGTATTCTCAGCGCCATTCTTTCTTAAAACTAGAAGTTAATGGAAATCTGTAAATTATTATCTGTTACCAGTGTTCTGGTAATTTTTTAAATCCTTTTTGTTTCCATAAGGCACAGATCAGTTAACAGCCAAATC